AATCAAACACAATTTCATGAAGTCTTGATCTGAGCCTAGCTCTTCCAGTCTATGGCTTTGTCAGGAGCAGCTATAGTACAGAGCCTATAGGGTGCAGAGGACCGTGCAGTCAATATAGTCTATAATTTCAGACACTGTTATGCACAAGGATTGATAAGGGTCTACATCTGCAGACTAATGAGTAAGGGGCTTTCCAGTTCTAATGAAACTTACATACAGTGCATGTGAAGGAACTTGTGTATGAGATTATAATAGCCATAGCTTAGAATGTACATGTATGTGGGGTGTGTGTTGTGTAGTACACAAATCATGTTATGTCCAAGCTCATTGTTTATATGCCCTCAGCTGTGATGGCTAGTGTGGTGTGTTTATGGGTGTGTTGGGGGTGTGTTGGTTGCTAGTCTACAAGCACAAGACTTTAAATTCAATACTTTACCACCATACCTGAAGCATTGAGCTCCTCAGTATACATCTAGATTTGTCAGTTTCTGGCTAAAGTACCAGAGCTTGTTGTAGTCTTGAAGTCTTGAAGTGCAGAGACTGTTACGCTCTACGACTGACAATGGTTTATGAGGGCATACCAGATGGATACAGTCTGTTGAGTTATTGGACAGGCACTAATTGCAGTGCTCCAACAGTGCACCACTAAACCACCAACAAGTTGCATGTTGTAATTTTTAGTTAGAGCTCAATAATGGTGTATTTGGTCAGGATGATCAAATTTAGTTTTTTGTAATTTCCTGACAGATTATATTTTCTTCTCTGTAATTCAAAACTGGGAGCCCCGAACAATCTAAATATGGTATTTTAGCAGTGTTTTGGAGACCTTCTTTTTTCTGATCTTGAGTTTGTTGTAGTAGTTTTTATTTACACTGTATTTACGACCCTGGCTACTGGTCTCATTTTGATCCTCGATAGATTTAAAACAGAATAAGCAGTTGCACTGATACCTACACATAATAAAGAACATGACGTGCTTAATCAATGTGCCAAGTTTTCGAACAATTTCACTAAAACTTTACAGAAATTTGTATAGAGTTTTAATCCTCCTTTTGAAACCTTGCATTATGTAATACCTTGGGAGACATAATTCTTCAGATTTTTTATGCGTTCCGTTGAATGCTTTATGGAATTGTGTCAGAATAGAGTCTGGCCTCGCAGACTACTGTACATGCATGTGGAAGGCGAAGGCCGTTGATACGAAAGCAGAATCTATTCATCGATCTGAGGCAAAGTACAATCAAATATATCTGAATAAAAAAAGAAGTTTTATCCACAAATCAATTGTTGAGGCATGCTTGTACATGAAAGCTGCACTGTTTTGGTGTAGCTTTGTGTGTTATGATTCTCTTATGGTATTGCACTATCATATTATTGGTGATTGAGTGGAAATTGCAAGCCCAGTCATGCATTGTGCCATAGTTGTTTAAATGTATCCACCATATGTCGACAAATAATGTCCTTTTAGCGTAGAATGTACAAAATATGAGTAAAGGTGGGAGGGGAAGTCCACCCTGATATTTAGTTGGTTTTAATAGGAGCAGAGAAATGAGAGAAACGGGTGAGTGAAAGTTTGAGTTTGTCATATCTGAGACACAAATTTGCAAAATTTTAACGTATGTAGCTCCTTTCCAAATTTGCTGTCTACAAAAAATTTTATAAACTATTTTTGTTCATACTTATTGATGATGGAATAGATTTTGTTTATACATGGGTTGTATAAAAACATAATTGTAATAATGACATGAACTGTATATTTAGGGTGAATGTATGATTGAACATTTTCTTGAGGAAAAATGTAAATTTTTTGGATTGTTTTAGTAAAGGGTAAAATGGAGGGGACCTCGCAAAATACACAGACCTGCCAACTAGTACGATGTAGTCTTATTTCGAACAATATTTAGAAGCAAATACGACAGTACGATTTTCCTAAATAAAATACGATTTCCAACTAAACAAAAAACCTTTTTTTGTGTGTGTGTGTGCCATTTTCAATGGCAAAATGCCCATTCTGTCCTGTAAAGTATCCTACAAGCTTTTCACATCAGCAATTTGGGGAACTTAATTGGTTCATCGGACACACCAGTCATGACGAAATCGTGCATATTTAACCAATGATCAATACATACATTTCTTCCTGTATGTAGGAATTGTAAGAGGCATTGATCCATGTAACAGTCCATGTTTATTGATACAACTTTTGTCAGTAAAATACAACTTTTGGGATTAAAGAATACAGTTTTTGAACTCCAGAGGTTGGCAGGTCTGGATACATCACAGAATTGCCAATTTGTGTTTGATTGATCAGACCTTTAAAAGATTCTTAACTTTCTTTTGTTATAACCTTTTTTTGCTCAAGCTTTCACTGTCCTGTTTCTCTCATTTTCTGTTTCTACTAAAACCAACTTAGTATTCATTTAAAATGAGTGTGATTTACTGATCTATAGTTATATTCATGCCCTACTTGTGCATGTACATGTATGTCCTACATTAAAAAAAAGAACTGCATTCTAATTAAAATGAATACCTCCCTGATTACATACACATACAGTACATGCTATACCTTTTAACTATCAAATACTAGTTCAGTTTGTATGGATCCCCAATCTGGTAGTTAATGACTCAATTCAGATATGCCCCCCTATTTACCATCCAGGTCCCATGTACAATGCAGGGGGTAGGTCACGGAATGGCAAGGCTTTGCAGCTACAAACTGGTTGATGACACAGATAAACCCTAGATGTGGGTGGAGGGAGGGAGGGGGGGGGGGGCCTTTGATTTTTAGTCACAGGAAAGTTTTCAGGAAGCACCTTATTATCACAGGCAGAATAACATCGTCTCGGTCCTATCTATAGGACCTCAGTGTCTCAAAGTCACTTTCACCAGGGCCAGGGGTGCGAAAGTACAAGGCCCCTATGTTAAAGGTACTCTTCAATATTATGACATGGTAGTGGAAATAGTGGAATCATTCTCAACCTGTCCTCAAGAATGAAAGAAAAGTGCAAGGCTCCTATTTTAAAGGTACTGCTCAACATTTTGACATGGTAGTGAATATTTGTCCCAGAAATAAGAGAAGAAAAGAATGAAAACAAAAAAGATCTCATGAATGTTTCAAGAGAAATGACCAATGTTTTTAGTTTAAAAACTTTTAACAAATGTTGATTTTCAATACGTGAAATAGGAATTTATTTGTAAAGTACAAATAAACCCTAATCAATTGATATAATCCTACATGTACATGTACAGTACATTATTTTGATTCCACAGGTATTATTCATGAGATATTTCTTAAACAGTTACCTTCCTGTTTTTCTGTTTGTATTACTATTATTTTTGTGAACTTCATATCAAGATGGACTTCTCTGTGCAAAAATATCAAAAAGATAAAGAAGAGGAAGAAAAAGAAGAAAAGGAGGAGGAGGTGGATTTGGAGAGACCGGTAGTTCAGAGTTTTTTTCTTCAAATATTGTTGCCTTTCAATAACCATCCCTTTTGAAGGATGTTCCTTCCATTTAGCATATTTTATTCCTTCTTTGAATTTGGTGACCGTCCAAACAACAGCCTACAAAATAATCCTCACCATTTATGCTCCTGTCCTAAAACAATTAAACTCACAAGGTCAGGTCATGGTAAGGAAATCAGGGCGTTGTTTCATGAAAACTGGATTAAGTACAAGTTCACTGACATCCCATTGACATGTGTGTTTATTTTGATACATGCATTTCGATGAAAAGTGGGTGAACTTATGACACTTTTGTGACACAATGCCAGGTTATCTGCTGTTCATATCATGTGACTAACTGTGGACCAATCACATCTTTGTATATGTAAGAGCTATCAAATTAAATGAAATATGCGCAAAATAATCCAATGTTATCAAAAATTTATCAATGGAAAAAGTATTAGTAGTGGAAAAAAGATTCTAAAGTAGTGTACCTTTAATCTCCTGCTATTGGCTTGAACTCCACTTCACCGGTGATCCAGACTTGACCTTTTCTGATTAAGTTGTTATGGAAAATGTTTATTAGACTTAAAGATCCACACTAAGATACAAAAAGTGGGTTCACGTACTGTATTCAGTTATTATAATGGGAGAGGAGTAAAAAAAAAAAAATATGGGTTAACCTGGAGTTAATAAAGAAAATAAACCTTTACCAGTAGTTGAATATTGTTTTGGGAAAACAGAAGTAACTTGTAAATTATAGGAAATTTCATGCAATTGAAAGGCTATTAAAGGTAAAGACCAGTTATGGTCATGCGATTGAATTGTGAAAGAAACGTTGTGGAATCGATCAGAAAAGGTTGATCATCTAGCATCTAGCATCTGCAAGGTTCTGGAATCATCAAAATGATAAGAAATTTGGCCCATTCTTCGTAAAGTTACAAGCACTATACACAGAAAGATGTATATGAGACTACCCTATATCTCTCACAGGACCATGAGAGAAACAAATTTACCAAATATATGAATTAGTAGGCGGTTTCCCGGCAAATTTGTTATCATCATGTATTAGTCAAAACATATTCTTTCACATGATTGGTAATGAGAGCTTCCATTTCATTTTTTGAAATTGGGGCGTTACCAATACTGGTCTTTACCTTAAAAGTGTTCATGTACAGGTACATGTACATGCAACTTGCAAAATATTGACAATGTACATGTATGTTTAGGTCTACATGCATGGAATGAAATTAATTACTCCTCTACAGGTGTACATTTAGGCCCTTTGTGATTATTTGTTCTATCTTCCACCAGGGCCCCCTGTATTTTTACAGTACAATCATGGTATGTATGCATTAAATACATGAATTATATTTACATGAAATACAACTGCAAATCACGGAAGGTCAATTTAGTGGCATACATATTTGCATTGTACATGTACCACTGATAGGTTTCAAGTGCAATGTTTGTACAATATTCCCTTTATGTGGTCCTGAAATCGATAAAAGAACCTGACATGATGATATTGAATTTTCTGTTGTTGTTTTGATTGCAGTTATCTTGGGAAGGAGACCCCTTATTTGTCAGTTTTCTTCTCCGCTGATTGATAGCTACACTGCCCCACAGGTAAGCTCAAAATATATCAGCAAATCACCCTGGCTTTAGCCTAACCCTCCTCTGGTTTTATGAGAGTCTGGGGGATAAGACTATGATTGCATGTCAACAGAGATAAACCCTAAGACCTTTTAATAGAGGTTGCAAAAGTGACCTGGTTATATCTACATGTATTTACTGGAAGTCAACCACAATATATATTTGTTTAACACCTGGCAGGTCTGCTCACATGTACAGGCACATTGTATTAGTTACATTTTTTGCTTTCCTTTCAGCAGCAACGCTGATTTTTTTTTTCTTTCTTTCTATGCAGTCAGTGTTTGCTTTATTTTAGTGGGACGTACGCTTATGTCAAGGCAAATGACAAGCTTTTTGAATTATGAATAAAAATGGCAAAATTCATCGCAGAAATTATCATCTAGGGGAAATAATCTAAAATTATAGGCACAAATGGTAGCACCAAGTGTCGTTATGTGAAATGATACTGGTACAAATTATAGGCAAGTGTGTTACAGATTGTAATTTAGGGAAATGGAACAAATGGAACAAATTCTAGACAAATAACGCAATTAATTATCTAGGGAAACTGAATATTAGAAATATATATATATATATATATCGTAAATGAACTTGTAATCTAGCGAGATGGCAAAAAATTATACAATGGTCAAATAATAAATTTGAAATACATTTACATATATATTTGTTGATGTAAAACCTTTCTGATCAAGCATGATTACAACTTGGAAGGGAAAAATGAAATTGTAAAATTGTAGCATAGAAATTACTTTTAATTTCGTCCATGGGTATTCTTCTTTAGGGAATTTCTGTTAAAAAAGTGGGCAATCTATCTATTTCATCATTTGTCTCCAAGACTAAATTTTTTTCTCCATTCATCCTGACCTCTGTTAGAGTTTTTCTAGAGATGTATTGCTCTCTACTTCAGTCTTCAGGTGTTCAATCGATTACTTTTGTTTTGTTTTGTTTTACTCCTCACAAGGCTGTGATTCTGGAAGGCAAGTACTGGAAGCGAACCCTTTGTGCAGTCGTCAAGGAGTACCAAAAATGGCGGGTTTTCTACAAGAAGAAGCTCAGCCATGCAGGACTACTGGAAGAAGGGAGTCTGGAAGACCTGCTGAATCGGGAGGTAATTCAAAGCTCAAGTTTCCCCCTCCTCCCCCCCCCTGCCCCACACTGCAAGGAGGTGGGGAGGGGGGGGGGTTTCTAGAGTATGTCCATGCAGATTGTTATTTTTATTGTTCATATTTCTGTTTTAAAAAACCCAGAAATCATTCAATTGCACAAGCTCTTCCATTGAAGTTTGTATTTTTATTATTTTCTGTTCAGCTCAAGATCTCATGCCAATTTTTTTTTAAAGGCCACTCCATTATACCTTAAAACCTGACGATGACTTTAGTTTTTCCCTTCTTTCTCCACCATGTTTCCCATCTGCCCCACGGCTCTCTCTCTCTCTCTCTCTGTATCTCTCTCTCCCCCTCTCTCTCTCCTCTCTCTCTCTTTTTCTTTCTTTTTTTCTCTCTCTCTTTCTCTTTCTCTCTTTCTCTCTCCCTCTCTTTCTCTCTCTCTTCTTTCCCTCTCTCCTTACCTCTCTCCTCCCCCTCTCTTTGCCGATGAAAGCAGGAGCAGTTCCAGAGCCTGAGCAAGACCTTCCTGGACACCAGCTCGGACGAAGGGACACCCATGGTCCTGGACGAAGAGACGCTCCTCTCCGAGTTCTCGGATACCCTCTTCACCAGCCTCAACCCAAACTTCCCCTTCCCGAACCCCAAGGAAATGGGTAAGCAATAGTTCAAATGGTGCACTGGCCCAAGAAACTGTCAGAAGCAAAATTAAAATTGTGTGTCCTATTTCAATGCTGGATAATAATAATAAAATAATAATATTCCACTTTTATATAGCGCTGATACATCTATGATGTCTCTAAGCGCTTTACAGATGTATCTACCAAATGTAAAGACAGTTGTTAATTTCTAAATGAAAAAAAAGAAAGAATGACCATAGAATACTCAAATTCATGGAAATGAACATATCATATACAAAGGATGCCAAGCTACAAATAAATTATATACGATATTTTTTGTAGAGTTGTGATGCACCAAACGTGAATCACAGAAATGCTAGTATGGTGCTTAAAATTCCTCAGTCTATATTAATATTTCTGGTTAGTACTATTGCCCCATTCTTTAACATGGGCATTATGTCTGCCTTTTTTAAAATTCATTTTTACTCTGTCAATATTCACTTGTTAGGGTGCACTTAAAGATTGCACTTAAAGATCGATTGAAGATTTTAAAATAATCAGGATCGAACGGATAAAACAACCAGCTTGAAATGGAATTCGTGAATATTCCCATGCAACTCTCTGTAGCATATGAAATACAATCAAAGCAATTTGTCCCTGGAAAGGATTGGTGAAAATGAGTACACAAGTGTCAATTTCCGGTTACTAGCTGGAATGTGATATGCGTAATACCCCTTCACCAGTCAATTTCTCTGAAAATAAGCAGGATTTTAGAAGTAAAATCGTGCTAAAGCATTGGAAGTTTGCCAAGTATATGAATTCCTTCCTCATCTACTTTACTGTAGAGAGTAGAGGGCAATGCGAGAGAGACAAGTAAAAAGTAGCTGGTGTCAGGATTGTATGACCCTTAGTATGGTGATAATTGCTCGAGGTTGATTCCTTAAACTTTTAGAATTTCTTAACTTCTGCCCTAGACCCAACACTGTACCTAATCCAACCCTCTCCTTCATCCGGTGAATTATCGTTTGGTCCACAACCAGTTCATCTATTCCCATTCGCTAATAATCATTTGATGATTAATTATAATTTTTGTATTACATTTTTTTTTACCATATGGATAGTAGACACAATGGGCATTAGACAAACTGTGGATTAGACCGACTGGAAATTAGAATAAATGAGCAATAGACCAAATGGGTAGTAGACTTATTGGAGATAAGACCAAAAGTCTATTACCCTGAATGGTCATTATACCAAATGATAAGTAGACAAAATGATTTTTAGACCATGTGGATATTAGATGGGCTGGGTGTAGACCATACAGGAATAGACCAATTGGTTAGTAGACGAACTGGTACACTGTAGTAGTCCAAACAGCAATAAACCCTTGATCCTAACCTAAAACCTAATTGCAACATGATCGATTGTCTGATATCTTTGAGAAGTAACGCCAAAGCAACTCTCATTGAAACAAATCTCAAATCACAGAATTCAGATCTCAGAATTGTTTTCCCAACCAGAGAGTAAACCAAGATTATTTACATTAGTTTCGGTTATAGGGCTATTAACTTGTTGATTACAAAGCTTGAAGTAACTGATTAGTTAACTCAACTCATCAGAAATTATTGTTAGAGGAAAATGTAAATTTTTGGAACAGAGTAAGAGCTCTATATAATTCAGATGGCAGAGGGAATGCATATTTGACAGTTTAGGGTCATTTTAAATTCTTGTGCTCAAGCAGGTTTGTAAATTTCCGAGGCTTCATTATTTTTCCAAAAAATCTATTAAGAATTTTTGTAAATATAGGTATGTGTATATTTTGAATCTTACTCTTACTTTCCTTTTTATATTTTTTCTTCTGAACCACCATAGCTCATGCTGGTATGAATGCAGACATCATTCAGCCTGGCTTGGTTCAGCTGCAGCCGTCACTGGATGATATGATGGATACTTTCGAGCCTTTACCAGGTACAAATCAGTTCCCACTTTTTCCCTTTGGGGGGGGGGGGGGGGGAGGGGGAGAGGGGATGAGCAGCCCATAAAACTGAAGACCCTTTTAGAAGTCAACATCAGAAACAGAGTTGAATTTTAGAGGGGAAGTTGGCTTCAGAAAGGGTGACTACTTTGTCATGCAATATATTGGTTTTCGGTGTAGTGGAATTTTTTTTGTTAAGCTATAAACACAAAATACACCAAAATCTCTGCGTAATTCCATTAGTGACAATGGAGTCTTCCTTGTGCAAAAGTCTGTAACTTTTGAATTCTAATGTAATGAAAATATTGATATTACAGACCTTGTAAAGTTTATACCTGTTTCAGTCAGTAAGAACATCACACTAGCTTTGTTTTAGCATATTTTTTATTATTATTATTATTATTTTTTTTTATTATTAATATTTCTTTCTTTCTTTCTTCTGTATGGGGGGGGGGGGAGGGTTGAGGTTTTTTCCTTTTTTACTGCTTGCTCTCTTTCTTCTTTCATTTTGTTCTCTATTTTTCTTTCCTCTTTGTTTGTTTGTTTCCTCCTTTATTTATTTGTTTATTTTTCTTCTATCTGAACTCCCTGATGCATGGTAGTATAAGTGCCAGGTGTGTTAAACGCACTGGCTAGATTCATCCATCTTATTATCAATTTGTCGAAAATAATTTCTCCTTGCTTTCTCTCTTTCAGAAATGTTAAAGACCGTTTATCCTTCCCCTGCTCCATCAAACACCTACATATTTACCGGTCAACAAACTCAGACGCAGCTCCTTCAACAGGTACAGAGCCAACATATTTATATAATATTGACTGGCCTTGAGGGAGATACCACATATAATTCCCAAACTAGACTCATATTGCCCTGAGTCAAAGACGAGGGCAAAATGGGTCTTGTGAGGGCAATATATGTGGTATCTCCCTCAAGTTAAACCAGTCAATATTTTTGTTGTTATACAAATCAGAAATCTAGAGCAAATACATACATGACAATCTCAAAGAACTGAAAAAATCCTTGTCAAACCAGCTAGCACTGTGCATCCAGTGCTTGACAAAATTTTCAATACACTGCAAACAGTGTTTGCCTTTGGTGTGATTAATACGTCACAATAGAGTATGCGCGAAGTGCCCAGGTTCTCGTATGCATAATAGATGTGCAATGAAAATGACAAAATATGGCGCGGTGAATATGGTCTTATATTTACTGTTTTTTGAACACGTAAAGTCCATAGGCTTTTTCATAAGAGGGTAATATGGTCTTATATTTACTGATTAGTTCTTTTAGGATTACAACAAGCGTAATATGATTTTGTAAAACCACTGCTCAGATGTTTGATACTGGTTATAATACCATTTAAACTACTGTTGATATTCATGACCTTCGAGTAGTCTAGTTCTTTCTTGTCTACTCCCAGTTTATCTTCCATCACTTTGTTCACTAGCCAACTTGTATAATGTCGTTTTGATGTAATTCTCAATATGTCCATTGCCCTTTAACTTATTGTCCACTTGGAATAATGATGACATCCTTGCAATGGGCTCTACTAAGCCCCTTATTGTGGGACGGGAATGTCAGAATATACAGTCTGTAGACAAAGTGATACATGTAGTAGCCCCCAGATTGAAACATCCAAACATTAAATGAAGGTTGTTAACCGAATTCACCATAATTTGAAGCCTTAAAGGTAATACAAAGTTTTGGTGTGGCGTCATGAATTTGGTTCAAATAAACATATTGAAAGCATTATGCGATTTTACAATATTCAATGATCATTGTCGTGGTTGAAATCGAGTCTAAAGTGATGAAATTGTGAATAATAAACTCTTTATGTTGCATAGCGCCCTCTCAAGACTGATTTTACTTTATCTTTAAAACAATGTCCTTGACTACAATCCACCGATTTGCTATTCCTGTTTGGAAAATATATATATAAGAATTGCATTTTTGAGATTTTCATGATTGCAGCTACAAGTACCATGGAATGGCCTTAGGCCATATTTGAAATATTTGAAATTTACCGGGAGCACCTGTAAATTTTTTGATATTCAATTTCTCGAAAGTAGAAGTGTTTTAGGGGCTAAATTTGATAGTGCTTATAATACATCCACAGGGGCATCCAAGTATATCAAATGGTAAAGAATAACTATCCATCCAATTTTCAAAATTTCCCAAAACTTTGCATTACCTTTAAGCATGTTTGAGGTTTGTGTCAGGAGCAGAATTATGCAAAAATTGCTTTATCACATAGGTATTGCTACTGTCTGATTGTTTTTTTCTGCAGAACTCCCAGAGTGTTGACAGCATGATGTCATCTTTTCAGACTACTCCAACGATGACAGGAGAGGAGTCTGTTGGTATGGTGCCTATGGATGATCTTCAACTTGTTGCCGGAACCAGCGGAATGAATCAGCAACAGCAGCAACCAATGTTGCAGCATATCCAGCCATCCCAGCCTCAGCAACAAATGCTTCAACCGCTTCAGCAGACCTTGGAGACCCAGAACACCATGTCCTCTTTCAACTTGGCTGGGATGCAGCAGCAGGTCCAAGTAGGAGATTTGAATCTCAGCAATGGCAATCTGATCTTGAACCCTCTTCCTGGGAATACCAACCAGGTCGGACTGGCTTCTCAGGGCCAGCAGAACATTTTTAGTGCGCAGCCTCCACAGAACACTATCCTTGAGCAGCTTGGTGCTTTGGGCGGTGGGCTGCAGTTGACCGACTTACAGAATACTGTCCTGCAACAGCTTTTGCAGCAACAACAGCAACAGCAGCAGCAACAACAACAACAGAAACAACAACAACAGCAGCAGCAACAGCAGCAGCAACAGCTGCAACAACAGCAGCCACAGCAGCAACAGAACGAGGTGATCAACCAATACTTGCCTCTGCAGGTACAGATCAACCAAATCAGTCCTCAGTTTCCCATGCAACAGCAGGCTAATGATCCATCGACCAGCCAAGCTGCAGCAAGGAGTAGCAAGCTGCAGACTGTTACCCCTATAACCTTACAGACTGTAAACACCATGAACCAGCAACAGCAGCAGAAACCCCAATCAAGGACAGCATCAATGCAGAGAAGTAACAGTTTACCAACAAATAGCTTTAAGACTCATAACCTGACACAGGATTGTCAGTTGCTGCAGGGCAGTCAGAATGGAAGTATGCTCCAGGGAGGCAACACGGCACAGATATTGCAATTGCCACAGCAGCAACAGCAAGGACAACCCCAAACACCGGGTGTGTTTGCCAGTGTGAATAACGAGACGCAGGCTAAAGCTCGACAGCTTCTGAACACGCTCACATCCACCCTGGCCCAGGTTCAGAAGCAGCAGCAGCAGCAGCAGGCTCAGGGGTTGAGTGGATCCCTCAATGTCACGGGTCTGACCGTCCAACAGACACAGGCACTCAAGTTGTTGCAGGAGGTTGCCAAACATGTCTCTGCTGGTGAGCTCTTGCAAAATAGTCAGCAGCAGCAGCAACAACAACAGCAGCAACAGCAGCAGCAGCAGCAGCAGCAACAACAACAAAAACAACAACAACAACAACAACTTGAACAACAAAAGCAACAGCAACAGTTGCAGCAAAAGCAGCAGCAGGCCCAGCAGAGGCGACAAAGGAAAAATAATCAGCGACAGCAAAAGTTGATTCAGCAGCAGCAGCAACAACAGCAACAGCAGCAGCAACTACAACAACAGCAGCAGCAGCAACAAAAGCAACAACAACAGCAACAACAACAGCAACAAATGCAGCAGCAGAGATTACAACAACAGCCCCAACAACAGCATACCCTTCTGCAGGGTATGACTACATCTGGAAGAGACAATAAACCTGTTCTTACCCAAATTCTTGGTCGCAATTTCATTGCTACCACAGGACTCTCTCAAATGGCTACCATTTCTGGTTCAAAAAACTTTCTAAACCAGCCAACCACTTTTGCACAAACCCAATCTCTGGCACAGCAACTGCAGCAGCAGCAGCAACAACCACAACAAGATGGGCAGGTCCAAACGTTACAAACGATTCAGTTCACTACTGGACAGCCTACAATCTCACTGGCAAATCCCATCACCATCACCTCCCTGCAACCAAACGCGTCTCCCTCACCAGACCTGAACAACGCCGACACTAGATCCAAGACCACCTTTAAGCTCCAGACCAAGCCTGTAGCAGGAGTTGGTCTGAAGCAAGCTACCAAGCCTAAGCAAGTCATCAAGCCCAAGATACCGGCCAAGATTGCACCGGCACCGCCAGCTCCTGAACCAGCACCGGTTATGGTTATGGCCAAGAGTGAAATTGGAAAGACCAGTACTTCATCCAGCAGCACGGCTCTTCTTACTCAGCTCCTAGCAGAAGGAGCAGGTATTTATTGCTTCTTCATTTTTCTCTTTTGGGTCAAAGTTAGTACATTTGTCAAACAAATCTAAAGGAATCTACACATATCATGACTCTATCAATTGAAAAGTAACCTTTTAATTATAAGATTTTAGATATCAAACCTTTTGATAATCTAAAATAAAGAAAATTTAATATTTAATTTATTTTCCTAGTTAAAAAAAGAGAAGAAAAAAATCTTGTTGAAATGAGGAACAATCCTTATTTTCTGAATCGATTTCTACAGATTATATAATTTTTCAAAATTATTGCATTAAATTGCATTAATTTTACTTTGAATGACTGAAGCTTTTTTTCTTCTATAGTACCAATGCACCTTGGACTGTGACAAATTAAATTGAAAATTGATTCTGTTCTCCAACCTTACCTAGGCAAATACGATACATCACCAGCCAGCATTTCAATACGGCCTGAAGGTGGGTCCTGTACTCCGGTTCGGACGGTTGTCTTTCAGCAGGTCAAGGCAGAACCTAGATCTTCTGCCAAGGCAGCAATCCCAAGCACCCAGGCCAGTGCCCTCTCACTGGCCTTGGCTTCTAGTCCTACTATAGTGGCTAGTAACAAGCCCAAAATAAGCAACACCCCCATCAAGATGTTGGTGAGTTCAACACATTTTCCTCATGATTTGTATTTCCACTTGGCTAGAAACTGGCCCAAAATAAGAAACTCCCCCATCCAAGCACAAAAAGATATGATATATCCAGGGGATGATTCAACATTTGCTGTGGCAACAATCGCTCCAGGCTTGATTTCTTAAAAGGTATAGGGTTAGGGTTAGGGTTAGGATTGCATTTTGAATTTAGGATACTGTAGGTTTAAAGCCCCACTGCACTACTTGCAGCTACTTGCTCCCCCCCAGATCCTCTTTTTCTTATGTAAATTGATAGCTGAGTTGATGAGAAAGCCACATGTCAATTACCACGCTGGGTGGTCTAATCCTCCCTGGCCAAACTAGTACAGACAGGCTTTAAGTTTAAGGGTTGGGTATAGTGTAGGGTCCAGTGTTAAAGTTGGGAATTTGGTAAGGGCAGGAAGCCCCTGCAGAGCAATTGTTGCAGGTGCATATATGGTCTTTTGGAGTCGTTCGCAATGTTGATACAGTGTATTAATTACTGACATTGATCTTTGAAACTGCCTGTTTGATGCTATGTGTTATCCACTACCCTTTACAACATCCTGACGACAAAAAAGTCAACCTGTTCGAAACGTTGAGCCACTCCCGCCACCCATCCTCTCGAAGCGCTATAGTTCTCCTTAGAACTAAAAGCTAAGAAAGATAACCAACAGTCTTTTTCAAGACTTCACCAACAGTCCTTTGCAGAACTACACACCCTCAAGAAAGATAACCGAGAGTCCTTTTCAGGACTCCTCAATCCTCCCTCTCTCTCACATGGTGCACCCGCAAGCCTACTGTATATCTATATCACCATGCAAGACGATACTTACAAGCAGCATCTAACATTTATCTTCTTCAGTCGAGTGAGCCGCCAAAAACGCAGACTCCCCGGCCTCCCACAGCGGGATTCTTCACCTCATCGCTTGCATCGGTATTCACATCCCCTCAGTCATCCAACAATGCAACAACGGCTAGCCCCGTAATCACCATAGCAACCAGTACCATTGGTCAGTCGAGCAAACCCATGCAAAGTGAGTCAAAATTATATTTATCTTGCTTTTCATTCTAATACCAGGCCTGATAATTACTGATTTAAATCAGTTTCCCAATTTTTTTTCTTCTTTTTTTCTTTTCCCTGATTTTTGTTTGCTTTGTCTTCCCAATTTTACCCCTATTTTCCAGATTTTTCCCTCATTTTCCCTATTTTTCCAGATTTTTTCAAAATTTCTTACTCAAAAAGGGGGGGGGGGTGATGATAGAAGCAAATGACTTGTTTAATTCTGGAGGTATACAGGTATCATCACATTGGAGCATCACAGTGAATGAATTGTGCTTGTTTGTGCAGCACTCCTGTTAGGAAGAAAACAAAATACTGTTGTATATTTATTGTGTTCAAGCTAATGTTTATTGGAAGAAAAAAGCAATTCAAGTTTTGTGTGGATTTCTGATTTTGTAATCCTTTGCCATCCTATAAAGTAACATTTGATATAACACTACCTCTCTGTACTAACAAGCCACTGAATATGCAAAACAAAATCACATTTGGTCTGCATTAATGTTTCACTTTTTTGATCAGAAATTTGTATAATGAAATGTTCAATTAAAATAGTCATAATTCTGTAAGTTAACAGTATCCTTTTGGAACACCTGAGTCAATTTGGTCCCCTTCCTCCCACTTCATCTCACCTCCCTCAAATATATAAACTTGATCAACTGCACAGGTCTTTTCTTATCATACTCCTTGATCTGCTCATTATTTTCTCAGAAATAGAGCCAGCGAAAGAGCCGCTCGTGTCCTTACCAGCATTCTCTCTGAGTACCACACCCATCAACATCAGTCCGGCACCGAGCCCAATGTCTGTCATCGAAGATATGGATGTAAGTAATCGCAAAGACAGAATTCTTTATTCCGTATTCAAAGAAGCATACTAGCATCATATAGCGCTTCAGCAGTGGGCTATTTTCATGCAGTATGTATAGTTCCTTACACAAGTTATGAAGAAAAAAAATAAGTCCCTTGCATAGTTTCTTGTATTGCTCCTGTTATGTGTACTGGACATGCGACACTTGATAAAAAGAAGATTCACATGTCAACTCAAGACTAGCCATTTACCTTCAATTTGAATTGCACAATTCTAGTTCTCTGTCAATATCAACAGAAAGAAATAAAAGTTTAAAGGGATCCTGTAACTTTGTCTTAGATCTTGCGTTTGCCAAACGGTTTTCATAACACTACAGTCTATTGGGGTAAACGAGTATGGTATAACCGGTCACTCAAAGGCTTTTACTTTTTTGAGGCACTTCTTGATCATTTTGAAGCGCAATTTGTTTTAGGGCTTCAATATTACACCATATTACATACTCTGATAGCACGTAGGGCCGTGCATCTCAGATTTAACATTGTTAAACGATCCCTTTAAGCCATCTTGCTCTTACGGTGATATTATCTATCCCTAAAAATTCTTCTGCAAAATTTTCTAGTTTAGTAATGCTATCCATTGTTAGTAGAAATGGGCTTTGAATAGATTCCATGTGTTGCCAGTCTTGTTCCGACAGTCGATGCTGTCAGAACAAGGCAGGTAACAAATGGAATGAGTTATTCATCATAGATTTATGTAACTTTATAGCGAGCATTATCCGTGGGTTGATTCATTCATGGTGTGAAATGTAGATATGGCTCGTCCTGTCAAATATCATACATTGTATAGATGTGTTTAGGATAGAAATACCCTGTGCAGATTTCCAAGGTGTTTTGTTGTTTTGTTTTCTTCATCATATAGCGTGACCTAATCTGCCTTTTAGATATTGCTAGGACGTAGATTTCATCTGCTTACCCTAATATACAACATGTATGAACATGCAAAACACATAATGAAAGAGTTACTTGGCAGCTGCAAAATAATGTAAACATTCTCCATTTTTGGGGTGAAATCTCGAAAAATAGCCAAACCGGTAGTCATAGTAATATCTCATTCATATTTGATGTTGGAAACTGTGATGGTATCAATAAAAAAATAGATCCTGCTTCAGTATCTAGATAATTAATGTAAATGAGCCTTAAGTGTTAGGAAACTCTTATTGTGTCATGTTATGATTAGAGAGTAACGAGTCTCCCCTTTTCCTACCCCAACCCACCATATCCCTACCATACTCCTACCCTACCCTAACTTACCTCTACCCTTCTGTATTCCTACTGTACCTCCACCTTTCCCCTACCCTACCATACCCCTACCCTACCTTACCCCTACCTACCTTACCCCTACCCTACCTTACCCCTTCCCTACCTTACCCCTTCCCTACCTTACCCCTTCCCTACCCCACCCCACCACCACCGTACCCTCACCGTACCCCCCCCCCCCTGTACCCCTACCCTATCTCCACCCTACCCCCACCATTCCACTCCTTTACCCCCCGCCCTGTCTGTGTCTCTCTCTATACATACAGAGCATGAGTGATGTGAACATGTCGGCAAAGGAAGAGGTAGGCAAAGAATTAAGGGACTCTATTCTTAATGATTTGCCTGCTCAACTCTGTGTGTTCTCCTTATTTTTTTGGAACTGCATTTCATTCTTTTAGGCAGGGCTCGACATTAGGGGTTGCCCCGTGGGCTTGGGCAGCTTTTATATCACGAAAGTGAGATATCGGGATGTCTGGCATGGGTAAATGTACTTCTGGGAAATGCAGATTTGCTGTATCAATCATTGTGAAAAAATTGTCAAATCCCCCCCCCCCCCGAAATATTATTTGAAAGACAAATACTTGTATTTTACATTTTATATGGATGCCAGTTTTGGGGCTAATGCTGAATATTTGGCTGTTTCCATTGTATTTCAGGCTTTGTATTACACATAATGTATGTAGCTTGAACCATATTTGGGTATCTTTTTCACTCTGAAAGAATAAAACCAACTGATATCCCAATGTTTAGGTTTAGAGCAACTTATTGGTGTCTAGCCCTGTTTTGAGTTTTGTTTTGCTGTGTCATTGCATTGTGTTGATGTTCATGGCATGTTATTTTCTGGTGCTTTCCCCACATGTTTCAACTTTTTAGTTTGTGTTCATTTCATGTAATGCCAAGATGGGTGTAGCTCTCAGAATTTTAAACAAATGGAAGTAACCTTCCCCTCTATACTTCTTTAAAACATTGCATCTACATTGCAGGGAAATGGATACTTTTATTCTGCAATGATTTGTAGTACAGTTAAACCTGCATTCCCTAAAAGAATGCTCAGGGGGGGGGGGGGGGGGGGGGGTGGTGGTGGAGAGGAAAAGTCTTTGTCATAGGCAGGTAGTCTGTATGAATGTGTTTTCTTTAATGCAAGTTGGAGTGAGAAACGTTGTTCCAAAGGGAGACCAAAAAAAATAAAGAAAAGAGAATGTTCTTTACAGACAGGTGGTTGTTAAAGGAGGTTTGACCTTATGTTAGATGCACATGTGAAATAATCTGTTGCTGTGATTGGACACAATATGATAATTAATGCACAATTTAATAATTTCAATTATTTAATCTTTTTAATTACCCAATTTCATTTTGCACATGATATTCTATGCCTTTTGATGATGCTTCCCTTTTTTGGTATGACAAACGTCTATCGAGTTAACATCTCTTAAATAATTTAAAATGGATATACAAGTATGTGCCTTCATGTGTACTATTGCACCATGAAAAAAAGTTCTAAATCGGCTATCTCCTTCAACTCTCCCTCCCCATACCCACCCCTCGGGTTTTTTCAAAAATGTTGTTACTACGTTTATTTAACGGTGTTCATTTCTTTTTGTTTCTGCACAGTTTCCAGGCTTATACTTCTTTCACTGGTGTTTGCATTTATGTATATGCACATATGTTTAATTATAAAAGAATTTAAATTATGTATTTCAAATATGTGAATCATGAGATTTTAAAGATGACCATTGGTATGAGTTCCTGCATTGTGTGATTGAACATGACTCTTCTTTTTGGGATACTATTGACTTATTCTTTCACCTTTATCTACACGTACATGTTTAAAAGTGAATTTCAGAATGCAAGAGAAAAGTCTGCTTTTGAAAAGTTACAAAGTGTTTCAAGAGATTATGATTTTAATTTTGTAAATAAATCAGATTTATTCATCATTAATATTTCCTTCTTGCACGTTTCAGAAAACTATGCAATTTATCTGTAAAAAGCATATTATTACATGTATCTGTTTTCATCATTGTATCTTATCTAAAAACTTATTACTGACATATTGTGTTTGACGTGCATTGCATCTTGCACCTTTGTCTTCACTATTTCAGTATTGGATGAATATGGACACAGTTTGAACAGGGACCAAACAATTAAAAAGTGAATCAATTTTGATTTCATATTTGATTTCCTGGTCACAACGGTGACCCTCATCATATTTAATTTGAATTGAAATGGTATTTATTGCAACAAAAGCATGATCAGGCTGAATGAATTACAGTAGAATTTACGATGTGAAAAATACATTATGAAATTGATTCATAGCAATTTCGCAACAGCAACAACTATAGATCAATTTTATTTAAATACTAAGGTTCTAGGAGTGAAAAGGAAGAAAGGAAAGGAATTTAATTATTGAAAAAGGGTCTTCATCATTTATAGAGGTACCCATTACTCAATTTTCCCCTATTCATTTGTTTAACCATACATAAACTTTTCAAAGAGACTTTAATTGCTTTGCTATAATCATTTTTAATCTTGATATAATTTGTTCTTTTGGTGTTTGATACAGGAAAGAGGAGGTGGGAAGTTATCTCATATTTCAGCTGAACAGAAGAGGAGATTCAACATAAGGGTAAGTGTATTTGATTAACTACTCTAAAAACAAAACAAATCTTTCTTGGACATGAAACTTTCATGAATTGTACATGGCAGCCATTTTAACCACTAGAAACTTTTGGACATTTTGGAAATTCAGTTTTATTTTGGTTGTGATTCAGTAAGTTAGCATCATGAAAATTTCTTGAATCTGGGCCTTGTTTCATAAAAGTTGTGAACAATAACAAATGGTGCAGATCCATGACAAATCTGCTCACAGCCAATCAAATGCAAGGATTTCAGTAGCTTATAACAATGATGGTATCTTGTTATTGATAATAAGTTTAATGAAATAGGGGCCTGAACTACCCTTGATATTCATTTACATTTCATGCCCCTGAATGTTCCTTATTTTTTAAAGTACATGTAGTTTATTGCTTGTTGTCAGAATTATTATTGATATTCCCTTTGTTTTTAATGGCGATGGATCACCCAAAACAAACAAACAAACAAACAAACAATGGAAAGAAAATCACTGCAGACATATGTTCTATATAGATAACCCTTTGGGTAGTGTTCAGTGTCTTCTTGTGATGGTAATTCAACTAGATATATATTTGTCATTATGAATATGAAAATTTGTAAGAGAAATATGTCCTACATCTTTGTTTGTAACCCAATACAAGCTCAAGAGACATTGTGACTTTGGGATGTTAGCTGCTTCAGAAATAGTAGTGGTTGGCACTTTTAAAAAGTCATTAGTGAAACCTGTCAATAAAGACCACCCAAGGGAGACAAGAAAAGTGGTCTTTATAGGCAGGTGGTCTTCATGTACAGGTTCCTTTAGTATATGTTTCAATGAGAAACTATTTCCAAGGGAAACAAAATTTGGTCTTTGTTAGGCAGATGGTCTTTCTATACAGGTGGTCACTAAAACAGGTTTGATTGTAGCAATTTAGCAAGAAGCTCTAAGAAATTGATTATCTGAATTTTGCTCTGATGACAAATCCTTGAGGCTTTATTTTGTCAAAGTTGTATGGTGAGATTTGTTATTGGGTTATAGATTAAGCTAAGGGGTAGGGTTAGGGGTAGGGTTAGGATTGGGTGAAGTGTTGGGTCTATTGTTAGTTGATACAAAACAATTGTCGAGAGCAGGTTTTGCACATCCGAGTATTTCTCTGCTACCATTTTTTAAGACAGCCTAATTTGAGTTTTTGATATTAATTGGTTGCTTGTTTCTGGTATTTAATCTCCATACAGTCTGGCTTTGACACTTTGAATTCAATGATCCCGTCCTTGGCCCAGAACTCTAGCGCTAAGATAAGCAAGGCCAACATGCTTGTCAAAGGTAAGTTCTACTCTTTCTTTGTGGTACATGTGCAAGAATATTTGTTAAAGATACTAGTATCTTCTAAGGAACATGATTGCAAGTCCCAGTATTGTTGAGACCATTTCATATATTCTAAATCAGATACACATACAACGTAGCACCTGCATACGACCCATTAGTATGAACTTGCGACTCATTCAGACATGTGGCAGAAAGGTGCCACAGCAAAACTATATGAAATCAGTGTAGTAATCTTGACTTTTCTCTATCTTGTAACACTTATACTGAACCCTTGAATACACATTTAGTCTATGGTCACATTTTTCTGTTCCCAAGATATGCCTCTTTATGTGCAAAGTTTTCCCACACCGATCTTTCAAGGTTGTTTTCTGTGTCGTGTCTGAACAGTGCTTGAGTCAAGAGTACAAGTTCAAGTTCAAGTTCATAAAAATATACGAAGGAAAACAAACATTAAAAAGTTAAACAAATAATATCAATATATAACGTGAGAATAACACAAGCAGAGGAGACACAAAGAACAAGGGGATGTAAACATGAACATTAGTGAAAGTATTAGAAGGTTGGGCCTCATGCAAAAGTCTGTAAATTCTTTTAATCATTTATTTTTGATAAAAAGGGAACAAAAGGAAATAATTTACTTTTAAGTAAATTAAGAAGATTAAAGAGAAGGTTGAGTTCTGGTGAAGGTGCAAAATAAATGTGAACTTTCTCATTCTTTTTCTATTGAAATGTAATCGCATGACCAAACCTCCACTCTATCCTTCACTCCATGAATGGTTTCCTTTTGGTGTTGTAGGTGTGGAATACACCAGGAAACTCCAGTCAGACCGGAGGCATATGAAGGAAGAGATCAACAAGCTCAAGCAAGAAATAGCTGGTTTGCATACAGACATCAGGTAAGCTCATTCAGTCAGAATCAGTGTAGGCAATACTCTGCCAGAATAAAGAGATATTTTGGCAATAGTGTCATGCCTACTTATTGTACATTATACAAATCATGATTCCATGACATTTGCTCCGGCGACAATTGCTCCGCTGTAAATTTCATACACTTATCGAATAACTAACTTCAACCCTGGATTCAACACTATACCCTACCCTAAACCTAACCCTAAACCTAACATAAAACCCTATTGAAACCCTAACCCTAACCCTACATCTTAGACGAAATAAAGCCCGGAGCAATTGTCGCAGGAGCAAATGTCGTGTCACCACAAATCATACATGTTTGTGGGTGCATTGGTATATATGCACTGCATGCAATTTGTAAAGGTCTGTATGCTAGAAAATGTTCTGAAAATGTCTCCTTTTTTTCTCAAATAAAATCACTGTCTTTGGTAGTGACCCTGTTCCTGTCCATATAAATGGAGCAATCTGAATTATTACTTGAAGAGAGTTCATGCTATAAAGTTTAATATTACAAATGCAGTGCTGGAAGATTTTATCTTCTGTTACAGTATAATTACCATTTTTTTTAAAGCAGAACCATTCAGTGAAGAATAAAATGCAGTAAATCGCTCAACCTTGCCTTTTCTCTCATTTCTATGTCACATGATCAGTGAGAGCCAATCACAGCTGCCGGCGAGTGGAGTCCCCGTCACCAGGCAACGGGTCGACATGATGCGAGATGTGTTTGATGAATATGTTAGAGAGAGAACCACGCACAACTGGAAGTTCTGGATTGTATCCTTTTATTAAATTGAAAACAGTCGTACGTTGAAAGCCGAACTCTTTGCAGACTTTGGTTGACCAAGGGAATGAAGAGTTGACTTTTGTCACTTAACCTTTGACCTACAGTGGGTACTGTATTAAGCCCATGGGAAAAATGAATTCAGCATTTAATGGGTTAACAAAGACTTATGGATTGATTAATTGAATTTTAATACATTAGGAAAATGGTCTTTTGTATTTTACATACTGGGTATAGATAACATGGAATTATACTGGAAGTAGACTGTAGATCACAAGGTCCGCGGTTCGAGTCCCGTCGCGGGACTAATGCCCTTTGGCAAGACATTGATCTACATTTGCCACACACAACCCAGGTGATGTAAATGGGTACCTGGTAGGAATCAATGTTTTGAAATGCTAGAGCGCCGCAATGGCAGCACAGCTAAAGCTGGGGTAATAATCTCCAAGTTTGGAAGCACTTAAGCCTTAGTGATTCTAATAGGCGCTATATAAAAACTGAGTATTATTATTATTATTATAATAACCTTGCGAGTCAAACATATCTTACTTTCCTTAGCTTTTTTTTGTCCTCATCCATCAGTTCAGCATTATTATCCGACCTCTGTTTGAGTCATTCAACAGCACGGTGTCAACATCAAGTAATGAGGAGTTAACAAGATCTGTCCGGTCTTGGCTCGATCAGCACTGCTCCCTCCTAACTCTTCGACCCAGTGAGTTTCCCCTTATTTATTAGTTTTCCTTACGCACATGTAGACTATCAAATGGTTATGCTGTTGGTTCTAGGGTGTGTTTCACAAAGACTAAGATCGACTTTAAGTTGGACTTAAATATGGCAGGCTGTTCATGCCACTGTTTGCTCTCACCATTATGATCTTTAGATAATATTTTTTCTTTCAATAATGAATTATCAAAAAATATTTACTCTGTAGATTTGTGACCATGATTTGTACGTCCCTTGAGAGACCAATGTCAGTAAACGGTGAGAGCAAACAGTGGCTCGAATGGCCTGCCATAGTTAAGTCCAACTTAAAGTCTATCTTGGTCTTTGTAAAACACCCCAAGATATTAGGTTTATTGTTGATAGAAGAGCTTTATATTGTCCATCTGGAGCCTGAAGGCCCTTGTGGCTCCGGAAGGATGGTATTCCTTGTTTGGAGCCAGAAGGAAATTAACCCTGTGTAAAATGATACAAGTCACTGCCCTTTCGGTTCCAAACAGATAATATTGATAGAGGTGTGGTGGTAGAGTGGTTTGAAGAGATGACTGGGAGACATTAAGATCAGTGGTTCAAGCCCCTGTATGGCATTTATATGTATGTCATGTTTAGAAATTTTTATTTTCTTTGTTGGCACTGTTCTACCGGTCATGCTATGCTTTATTGCAACCGGAACAATTGCAACAAACACTATGGCAACACACATGGCTAGCCATACCCTAAATGAAGTGATGATGTCAGTGGTTTATTTTCCTTCTGTGAATACCCCGCCACACAGTTAATATTTACATCATTTTTGTTTTCCCTCCTTCTCCAGCCGTTTTGTCTTCATTGACCCTCCTCAGTCGGACCACGTCCATCCTGTCTGACCCCACCCAGATCCCTCAGCAGGCCATTGATGCGGTCACTCGCAAGGATGATGAAGTGGACTAGCTTGGGGCATTGTGAATGGTCAAACCATTAAGCGAAATGCAACAGACTGGAAGATATTTATGTGTTGGTGTGGATGATGTGGATGACTTTGAGGTAAATGGACATCCTCAACACCGAAACCCATAAACAGACATGCCTCAGAGCCCTTAAAGGAAACATTTAACATGCCAGAACGATATTTTTGCTGTGGTAATGATCAGAGAAAGATGTGAAAGACCTTGAGGCACTTGGACATCAGCAACGGTAGACCTTCCAAAAACTGATGTGATGGACGATGATAAATTACCATGCTCTTGTCATTGAGGCATGAATTCAAGGCACTGGGATATTGATGTTGGAACCGTTGAGGAGCCACGTTACGGACTTTGAAATATGTCTGTGCTGTTGTTGATCTTGGAGTTGACTGAATGTATGGTGTCCACCTTAGAAGTCATACATGAGAAAAGAAAGATGAACAAAATTTGACCGACCGTCAAAGAGTTTGTGTACCATCGAGTCTGGCAATATATTGTGCATGTCTCATGTTGCCATTGGAATGTTTGTGCTATTTCCTGATATTCATGTGTTTAGAATTACAAACCTGTGTTGGGGGGGGGGGGGGGTGGGTGGGGTAGGGTGAGGCTTATTGAATATATCCTTATTTCATGGCATAGCATGCTAAATAGGGTAAATATGTGCAAATTGTGCTATTTGCATTCGTAGTACAGATATTTGTCCTTTGCAGTATTTTAAATTCATTTAACACACTGCTTTGTTTGATTAATACACCAATAGGCAACATTGAACAGCATAATCATATCATGTTTTATAAAAACTTCACACAAAACTCATATTTCTGATCTTTATTCTCTAGTTATACCTTCTAAACACAACATGAAAACATGTTATGAAGTCGCATTACAATATAACTCTGAAATTATAAATGAAAATCGAAAATCAACAAATGTTTTATATAAATTTCACTCTGTGAATGATTTTATAAGTTGCAGCTGATGAGTAGATAATATACTATTATTATTATTATGTAACGATAAAAGGTTAAAAGTGTAGAGCTTATATGCAGTGGTTGGTCAGCAATTCAAAGACTATGTTAGACTTTTGGATAGATGTATTTTTATAAAGAGATTTTTTAACTAATTTGATAATAAGTAATAAGGATGATTATAGCGTGATGGTAGGATGCCCAAGATCTAGATTTGGACTCCTTACGTTTCTGCATAGGGCTAAATGCTTGATTTCAGTCTGGACCCCCAAGGACAATAGTTAGTGTGGAGTCCTGGTCTGTGGTTTGAAAAGTAAAATTTCATCTTGTTGACCTTCGTAATCTTGACAGATGCCTGCAACATATGGTCTGTGGTAATTTCCTACGCTATCCGATTCCTGATTTCAACCCTAGACCTAACACGTTACCTTACCCTACCTTATGCTATGGTCACATTACCCAAAAGTAGCCTGCTCGGCGGCCGAGCGGCGAGTTTTTAACTAATTCTGCCCGGCGGCTGCCCGGCCACCAAGCGGCGGCCGCCCAGGCACCGCTCGTTTTTAGGGCATCGCTCAGTCGCTGCTGAAGTTTTAGCGCGGAGTTCAAATTTGGGCGGCGCCTGCTCACTTTTCACTCGCCGCCCAAAATACGCTCGGTGCCTGGGCGGTCGCCGCCCGGGCACCGACCTAATCGCTGGGCGATGCCTGATTCCAGCAGCGACTGAGCAGGCTACTGATTGGTCGGTCGCTGCTCTGATTTGTGACCATAGCTTAACTGTAACCCTGTACTTTGATGAAATAAAGCCATGAGCGGTAGAATCTGTATTTGCCTTTGGATGGCTATTATGGATCCCCGGTTAATTAAGATTTCTTTTTGTGTGTGTGTGTATATACTGGCACTAGTAAAATGTATATGAAATATCCTATTGTAAAATTTAGCTAAGGCTTTATTCATGTACAGTACTTTTGTATAGATAAGTAGAGAGCACATGCTAGGGAGAAGGTGGAAGGAGAGAAAAGTGTTGCCAATTTAAAGGTAAAGTCCGATAGTCATGTCTAAAGACTGGCGAGGGGAGAAGTACCGGTACATGTAAGTAAGTAAGAAATTGTATTCCTGATCAATGCTTAGACGCTTTTAGTTTGTTTCCGCACCGTTGTATGTTTTCGTCTCATTCGTTACTGTGTAATGTGTGTTAGCATAGGGTCATTTGGAAAATCGTTACTAATATGCAGTGTGGATGCAACTATAGGATTAAGACCAAAAGTTATATAGGAGAAGTTTATCTTTTTCACTGGTATTTAGTGTGGGTTAACAAGCAAGAGAATCACGGTCATTGCCAAGAAGCATACCACATTGTATAAACACTCGCAAAAATTTCAAGTGAGCTTTGGAATTTTGTGGATAAATTTCAGAATAGTGTGTGCTACAATAGACAGGCACCAAGCAAACAAAAGTAACCATGATGAATAATAAGATATATGCCACCATGTCTGTTGTACATTTTGGGTTCTTTAACAATGAATTTTAGCTTTACAAAGACTATGCATATTTTTTGTTAACGTAAGATCCAAGTTTGTTTATGTCATTGCACCAAGATACTTCATTAAATATAGACTAGAGGAATGGAATTCTATCCAACCAAGCAAGACCGCAGGAACAGTCGAAACCCTGTTTAAAAAAAAAAAAAAATTGGCAACACAAGATCATTGCGAGCAGAATAAAAGATCATTTATTTTGTTTATAGCATGTTCTGTTACTATGTATAATAATTGTAGCATCTTTTGGTCCTCAGGGTGTTCCAATTTCATGCCAAATTTTGATTTATCAAACATATTCCATGGTGATATTTTTTGTTTACAGAATCAACACATTAAACAAAATTGAAAGATATGGAAATCTCTCTGGAATGATGTATAAGTGTAAGAAAAGTTATTTTCATCAGATAACACAGCTACATTATTAGTGTGCTTTAATCTATATTTCTAAATTATAGCATCACTTCAGGTTTAATTCTAAATTCATGTAAAAAAACAGCAGGATCAGATTTGCTGTTTTTAACTACTCAGTTTCTTTCCAAAGAACCTTTCCAATAAATTAATTTATATAACCTGCGAGTTTGTTACCTCGCCATTTAAACCTAGATCTTATTGTCTGTTGTTTTTGTATTCATGACGAAATTTGCCCCATCTTGTACGGAATGGAAATGTAAAGACAAACTACGTTCACTCATTTAATGGGTAATTTTTATCGGCAGGGATTTCGCGAGGTACTACATGTAGGCGTCGATCTAAGATCGGCAGTATGTGTAGTGGGAATGGGAATTATTTATTTCTGCACGGTTTTGAATTTCGTGCTACATATATGCAAGTATTTTCTCACTAATATCCTAAGATTGTTGTACATATCATTATATCCTTGTCTTAGTCTTTTGCTTGGTCTATCAAGCACATCTCTGTTTTTCCTCCTCGTGTATCATGTACAGTGTAATTATAATTTTTTCAAGCATTCATTCATTTTTATTTGTTACCAATGTATTCTCCTTTTTTGTGCTAGATAGAATCTAGACATTGTTGCTAAAAAGCATTCTCACGTATGGCCGTGAAGCGAATCAATAGGCACAAAGTGGTAAAACTCACTTGGTGGAAAATTGAGTGAAATGCATTTCCCCATGATCTGTACATATTCAACAGATGAGCTGCTACGTTCTCATCCAAACTGTTGTTTTATGTGAATGAACATAGTACATGTTTCACTCATCCCCTCCATGTCTATCCAGGAGAAGAGCTCTTTAGTATCTCTGTTATTGTTATTTTTTTTAAATATCACAAAAAGATTTGGAGAAGGGTAACGTTGACAGTGTGCAATTTTTTTTTAAAAAGGCAAGTATGCATAACTCGCTTTTGTACATGATTAAAGATAAAGTTGCGTTTTGGTCAAGCGTTTTGAACTCAACATTTTCTTTAGCCATTAGATACTGAGGCTGGAATGACTCTTCACGTGTTTCTCTATTGGAAATGCATGTTTAATGAAATGAAATGGTATACAAAGGGTTATATGGTCACTAATTTTCAAGTATGCTCCAAGCCTACTTGCGCGCTTGCCCCAGATAAAAAGAAAGTATGACAGCAGGCAGGAAAATCAGATTGACTGACATCTGGCAAAGAATCTTGATCACCATGCACTTTACATTTTAGGGCAAGTAGTTAAACAACAGCTTTGTTACTGCAGGCATATTGAGCAAAAACGATAATTATTGTTGCAACCTTTTTTTTTACATGAAAGTCAGAAGTGGCACCATTTCTGAAATATTTGTAACTACGGTACACAATTACCATTTCACCCTTCTAATTCACATTTCATACATCCAATTTTTTGGTGTCCATTTGAGGGGCCTTCATAAAAATTGAATATGTAAACAAAAATATAAAAAAATATCACATGTAGTTTGTCAAAGGTTTTTGCTGACACTTTGTGTTCATCCTTTGCTCAAAACATCTGAAATATTGCTGCTTCAAAAAGTTGTTTTGAAATGCTGTCTGTATAAACAAATTATTATGTTTGGATTAGGCTCCCCAAAAACGTTGTGCTGCAGTGAGCATGAAAATGCAGTATTTTGTATTATTTAATCCATTTGTAAGGTCAATGGAATTTGTTGTTTAGTATCATGGTACTCTGTCTGTAATGCATAACAATTCTGAAAAAATGCAGTTGAAGTGCCTTAGCCATAAAAGAGTAACCATCTGCAAGCTCAGATGGTTAATATATTTCCCCAGCACACCTCTGTGACAGTTGCAAATGTACAGCAATTCTGACTTCAATTGCAGTTCAAATTAGTTACACTCCTATTATTTTATAGTACGTACATGTATCGAAGTATGATATATTGAATTTGAAACAGAACGTTTTTTGATACGCGTTCAATTTTCTATCATGCTCTCTTTTTTCTTAAGATTCAGTCCTCTTTTACTTTCTTGCCTATTGTCCCTCCTCAGTTTTGTTTGTGTGATGGTTAGGGGAAGATGGGCAGTGATAAAATTATGTTGAACCTTTTTGGATCACCTGTAAAAAAATGTGTACAAAGGGATTATAAATATGTGAGGGACTTTTTATGTAATGCATATTGTGTGTGTGTAAACTTTGGTTTTTTGGTTTGCCCCATCATTGTAATCATTTGATCTTGACTAACCTAAGTTGAAGGAAAACAATTTACAAAATAAAAATATCAAAGGAAGATTGATGTATTCAGTGTCTTGCATGTCTCATGTTATATGTGCAGTGCTCTATATGGAGCTGTGATGTATGAGAGAGGGGGTGGGGTAAGAGAAAGGGAGGGAGAGAGAGAGGGGGAGATGGGGTGGGGGTTAGGGAAAGGAGGGACAGAGAAAGAGAGAGAGAGAGAGAGAGAGAGAGAGAGAGAGAGAGAGAGAGAGAGATAGGAAGAGAGAGAGATTACTATGTAGAAGAAAGTTGAGAGTACGCTCAGACTAAAGTTGAAAAGTTTCTCCAAAATAAATTTTTGTTTAGAGCATGCTTTAAAAAAGGCATCACAACAAACAAATTTACAAAGGTATCTACTTTCCAAAAATGAAATGGTTGAGTGGACCACAATTCTTTCAATGCTTGAAACTTGAAAGCACAATAATCGTATTTTGTCTCACTGGCAAATATAAACAATTGATGCAATCATTCAAAAGTATTATTTTTGTAGGTCTATTCTATTTTACTTTGTCTTTGATTATCTTGGTGTTCATTGCACTTAACAGAAAAAGGGGTTATATGTACTTAACTTTCTAAGTCGTAAGTCGACCATGGCCCGACTGGAGATGGAGTAATGAAATGATGAGCACAGGAAACAGATTATGTAGAAACTTAGTTTATTTCACTTTTAACAATTTATCATAATTTATCATATTTAACAGATATGAACAGCATATAACATACTCTTTAATCTTTATACAAATCTGCTGCACATGAACATATTAGTTACTACTTGCACCACTGACCATTTTCTAACTAAATATAATTGTTTAAAAATATCAAAACCATATACATGCAAATATGTAAGGGGATTCTGTACAAATATTTTAAACTTTGTTTTGTTCATTAGGACTAAAATGATCATGTATTGTTCATGATTGATCAAAACTCTAATGGTAATGAAGGGAATAACGGTAGTGCTTGTAAACTAAAAGTAACATCTCAAAAAATAGAAAAAAAGAAGCCAACACTTGTTTGATGTCTAAGATAAAAACAGTGACACAACAACTGAAGCCCAATAAAGTTGGATGTTACTTTCATAGCATTAAAAAATGTAGTACTGACCCCCCCCCCAAACAAAAAACAAAAAGCAATGCGGGTATCACTAGGAAAAAAGGGTGCCTTTCAAGAGTATGAACTTCCCCTTCCCCATAAATATGAATATAAATAGTAACAGCAATAATTTACCTATTGAAGAAAAGACACTAAAATAATCACCTTATATTAAATTATACTAGTATGAGATACTCAAAGGGTTAAAAATTAAAAAAAGTTTTTAATCAGTGAGAAATTTTTAATGATATTGAATGCATGAATGAACAAATATACAGATGAATAAATAAACAAAATGTTATGAATATTTGGAAGAAGTGATCACTACAAAATATGGGAACCTCCAACTTGCCAAGTAGTCATGCCACTGTTTTGTACTGTAGGGCAACTCTTTCCTCCGTTATCAATCTTATGACTTAGCCAACAAGCTAATTCAAAATTTATCTTATGCGTTTCCAAAGAGAAGATCAACTGAAAGTCACAATATTTCAGTGTATGAATATTACAAAAAAGTGCAATATAGAATCAATATCGTGGCAAATGTACGACAATATATATCAAAATATATGAAGGTCCTCAAAATTCTCATAAATGCACAAGAAATTGGTAACAATATGTAAGCTTTAACAGTTCAAAAGTTGTTTGCAATCTTCGAAACTATGAACATACAGGAGAGGTGTCCATTTCAAAATCTCTAGTCTTGCGAGTTTGAGACTGTTTTCTGGTTTCTACTAGCTACAGCAATGAGACGACCGTATCCTTTGTTTTAAGCCAGAAGGGCGTTAAAACTCACGTCATATTATACAGAGTTAATACCCTTCTGGCTCCGGATGATATCTAAGCTTGGCTCACTTTCAACCCATACTTGATGGCTGGTGAAATTGTAGAAATTTCATAATCCTCAAATAATGTGCAATTTTAAATATACTACAAACTAACTTATAGCAGATGAAGATAAAAATATTGCTTTTTCTTTCACAACATATAAACAGCTATTTCATATTTGTATCTTCTCCCCAAAAAGACTCTTTATCAAGTACTTTCATATATATATCACAGTCTGTCATATATACATGTAGTTCCATATTAACAATCAAACATTGAAAGTTCATGTCATATATTTTGATTGCTTTTAAATCATATATCTAAATCCACATATCTCCTAAAGGGTACACTGTACTTCTAATTGCAATATATTTTAAACTACCTTGACGTTCAAAAGCAAGTCATAAGGGTGGAAGTTACATGGAATGATTTGATTCTCTACTATTCCCATATAGAATCCTTCATATAGGTCACTGGTATGACAATGTTCCTCAAAATGACCACCAAAAGAGCTCAGAGTCTCAAGATAATCCAGAAAAAGCCTTTCATACTAATCTTCTTTCTCCTCATGTTCTTCAAATTGGCAATGCCAGAGCATTCATCTTGTTCACAGGAACTGCATCTCCAGATTATTCTCGTCCACCAATCTCTCAAAACACAATCCTTCAATTGGCCACAGCTCAGTGGTTCATCTGATCATTTTATCACGAATAAGAAGCGACTGCATGAGTTCTGATTCGGCCTAATTCTATGACCTGACAAAGTAGCAGGAGACCGGTCACCCGGCTTTGATGCAAGAGGGCTAATGAATAAAAAACAACATTCCTCAAAATGACCACACATGGCCAGACTTGTTTCTAGGTTGCTCAGTTTAGCAACACATGTAATTCTTTAAATGTTCCTCCAATTGTCCACATCAGCCAAGCTTGATCAACATGTTCCTCTGATTCCTACAAATTCATCAATGGATGATACCGTTTAAGAATCACTGCTCGTGCGAAGAAAAAAAAGGGCTCCTCAAATTGACAACGCTAAAATAGTCTTGGGTCTGTAATCCCCATGTACTTGGTTCTCAATAGAGTTGTATAGACATAGCAGTGGAGCCATCTTTCCAGATAGGCGAGGCTGCGATCTGAGCCCGGCACATTGGACAGGTCTGTTCCCGATCAAACCACATGGCCACACAGTTTTCACAGAAAATGTGCTGCAAAGAGAAGATAACAGAGCAATCATATAAACAGTTATTTACAGATTAAGAAAGAAAACTATTATAATATGTCATTAATAATGCTTATCATGACTATACTGATACTGCTACTGCTACTACTACTACTATGAACAACAATAAATCAAATTCATAATGTATGGTTTTCAAGACCCTTATGATATTATTCTAGCTAAAAAATAGGAATAATAGGATTAAAGAATGCTTCATAAGAAGTAGCCATATGCTATACCTGGATGGAGAGTGGCAAATGTAAATTGCCAAATCCCCCCCCCCCCCAATAGCCTTCACATGCAGGTTATTGGGTGGTCTTTATAAAAAGGTTTGATCCTTACCTTGCAAGCCAGCTGGATAGGATCTTGAAAGTCGTCCTGGCATATCGGACAAGCCTCACCAACTCTCCGAATCTGGTCCTGTGAGGGCGATATTCCATATTGCTGCATTTGGGAAGAAAAAAGGAATTCAGTTGTAAATGTGATATATGCAGGTGCATGCATGGTAAATATACTCTATGGCCTTAAAATCATCTATTTGTAATGACTGCCTAATTCTATCTCATTTGTACCGTGTCTCGAGGGAAAGCACAAAATAGACAAATTTTGATCAACCAACTTCAAAGTTATGAATGTTCCAAAGGGTCAGATCACTAAGATAACAGGAGTTGCAAATAGGAAAATTGGCTATGTGTATATCTGGATAAAAATATTGGAAATTAGGGTTCGCTACATAATGGTCTTAATGGAATCTCAAGACAATTCTGAAAAAGAAGATATCAGCTAGGTCACAACAAGGTGACATCAAATTATAAAATCGTATCATAAAATCATAACACAACAGTAACAACAGTATGAAATAACAAACAACAATAATAATTGAATTGTAAGTGTGGATTTTTTCAAATTAAAAAACCTATGAATGTCAGCACAGGTATTTTATTATTTTTGTTTTTAATTCATGCTGTGGTTACTGTTGCGTTGTAATGATGTTATGATATGATTTTTTAATATAATGTCACCTAGTTGTAATACTAGGCACTTACCACATCTATAAAAACATCATGTAGAGACTTTCTTAAATCCTTCTGTTTCCTGTACACAGTAAAGGCCTGGAAATGAATGACAACAAAAAGATTTAAAAACGTTCACAGAGTGGTTAATGTTTTCATATAAAACAACGTTCTACAGGGCGCCATCTTTTTCCTGATAATGTACCAGAGGAAATTGTAGACACTCTTCACCAATAACCATCCTTGTATTTTTAATGATTGAAAATTGTACCTTTGATGAAGAAAACAAATTACTTTTTTTTTTCCTTTTTCTTTTCATAGAAAATAAAGAGTAATGATAAAGAGAAGTTTAGACATTAAACGAAATTCTTCTTCCACAATTCAACAGCTTTTCTTGATGCTAAGCAAACATTAAAAACAACCATTGTGTGCAATTAACATTTTGCATAATGACGGAAATTTGTCTGTTCGGAGCCAGAAGGGTATTAAAGCTTGGTTAATGTAATGCCCTTCTGTCTCCAAGCACATGATATAATCCATAGGACATGAATGCAACAGTTCATCACCATAATCAGCCATATAATGTCCCAATGGCTATCATTACATATTTTGCCTCCATGTTACAGTAAAACACTTAAATGTGATCTTAACACAGCAGCCATTTTACTCAGCTGAGCTACATGCTAAGTAAAATAATGACATAATTCAAGTATTGAAATGAATACAGGCCCAGAACTTGCAGATTCTACTTACTTTAAGTATAACGTAAGCAAATGTTAAGAAGTAGCCGATGGCCCAATGTGATTCCCTGTAGTCTGAGAAGTAGGAGACCCACATAGGAAATGCCGGAAGAAGTCGATACATTTGAGATATCTCCTCCAGAGCACGGTAGATTTTACCCTGAAAGACAACCATTAAAAAGAAAAACTGAGCATGTTTTCTACATCTACCTTTCAGAACAGTATCAATAAATCTTACACTTTTCTTTTTTGCCCAAAGGGCTATTTTGAGGGTGGCAAACAAATGTAACTCAGCTCAATTTCAGTGCATATTTACCTAGGGCAATTTGCCCCTACACTTAAAAAAAACAAAAAATTAACAAACAATCAAACTTACAAGAACAACATCAGCAGCATCACACATGTTTTGTTTCCTTCAATTTCTTTATTTTTCTATTTTTTTCAAATTCTAGATGAATTTAGTGCTGATCAATTGCAATAGTTATTTCATTTCCGGTAATTGTATTTTATGGATTTTATATCTTTATTGATTTTCCTCACCACTGGCCAAAAATATATTATCCATTTTACTCATGTATCCATTCATATTAAACATATCCAACATCTGCCTGGCTTAATATGCTTATATGGTCTGAGGTCTGATATAAATGTTTGATATTTTTCATATTTGAGATGCCGGAGTAACAAGACGGCTGCTGTTTGCATCATTGATTCTCGGTGTACAATACCTGGTCATAATGCCAAATCCAATCCTTTTTTTGCAGGTCAATGGTCTTGTACTACTCCGACTTCACTATTTTCATCAAAATAGCACTAAACTCAAACACCGCTTGAGGCAACCTTCGCATGCAAAACTGCATGTACAGTATGTACGTACTGGCATGCACAAGCATGTAGTGCGAATGGCGAACCACTTTCATATGAGTTTGCTATTGCGGCATGTATTCTGTGCATGCATATGTATGTTTGCCCTCATATTTGTCATTCTAAAAGGTGCATTCGTAATTATGCAACAAGAGGGTCTGAAATTTATAATAATTACAAAGATTTTGTAATAGTTTAGTGGCAGCTATGTCCAAGTATTTACTGAGCTCTGTGTTGTAAGATACAGATGAGGTGAAGCTTATTACACTAACATCATCATTAAAAAGAGCAGCTGTGGTTATGTTTAGATGATGAGCTTACCCTTTTCTTGAAGCTGAGGACTGATCCGGGAAGTAAGGTGACCAGACACTTGAGTATTAGTGTTGAATACTTGACAACAAAATCAGTTATCCCTACACACCATAACACCGCCCATAACGTCATCACAGCGATGTTCGGTGGCAGGAACATAAGACTATGAGAAAAAAAGAGAATGCATAAAAATGGTGAGTTTGAATTTAGTAAGGACCAATCCCCACAAGATATTTTGGTGTAAGTTCTAGTATCCTGGGCACCATTTCACGAAACCGTCATCAGTAAAAGTTCGCTAACAATCTAACATCACATTGAAAAGCGTGTTTTCAATGGGATGTGAGTGAACTTTCGATGTATTGGAAGGAGTGCCTGATCCGTCATCCAATCCAATCCAATCCAGGCATTTATAAAGCGCCAATATCGAGTTGCCTAATCAAAGGTCCCACAAATGTGCAGGAGAAATGTCTTTTCCATTGGTAGCAGCAAAGTTTCTTCTGTTCATGTATTCTATCTGTTCACCTATTCCAGAAACTTCCGAAGTCCCATTTCTTTTGTTGAGGACAATGCAATGTACTGTATTCTTACTATTGCGCTCACTGCTGTGTATTATTTGTATACCGTATTTGCCGGCGATTAAGGCCGCAGCGCCGTATAGGCCGCACCCCCGATTTTGACAATTAAAAAAAAAAAAAAAAAAAAAAAAAACTTTTGTCGAAGACGGGATTTGATCTCTTGCGTACAAAAGTTGATGTGACTAAAATCACCGCCTTAGATCGCTCGGCCATCCCGCACTGATGCTAGCCTATGCAGTTTTCTGTGATGTATACATTGCGCCTCTCTCTTGTGTATTGAAATGGATTCAAAATAGCGACTTCGAGTGATGGATGCTTGCGGCAGCTCCGTTAAACAGGCCCTTCTTTTACATTTGCAATGCAATGGCAGGAACTTAGATCAAGATCTATCAGCAGATGTTGTTTTTGGAAGTTTATTTTCGTCTTCATGTCAACAATGCAAGATAAAATTGTCGGTAAGGTGTGTGGAAATGTCCTGTACCATAGTGGTAAAGTTATTGTACCTTTAGTAGTCCCATATGTTCAAATTCGTGCTCGTTTTGACTTACTTTTTTTTTTTTTACTCTTTCGCCGCATAGGCCGCACCCCAACTTTTTGATATTTTCTCTTCCAAAAATACTGTGGCCTTTACGCCGGCAAATAAGGTACTAGAAATCACAAGACATAATATGCCTCTCTTATGCTCACCATTTATAAAGCTGTTGTTCTTGTAAGGCGTAGTATATGAAGATGATGTTAATGAACAGTAATCCCAACCGCATCACTACAGATAACACGCTCCTTTTCTCCTACAATTAAAAACAAATAAATCACCAATCAAATTTCTGGCATCATTGAAATTCAAATCTTACAGATCTATATGTATGGCATATCAATTCAGATAACAAATCTTTGAAATAATCCAAAGCTCTTTGCCACATTTGTAGAGAATAAGGATAATGTATTCCCTCATCAAAATATAAATATAATATTCATCTCCATATTCTCTTTTTACCATCTATTTCCAAATTCTCACATCACCTAAAATAAAGAGAGCATTTTTTGTTTGTTTAGGTGGGGGGGGGGGGGGGGTGGGGAGGGGAGACGGGGAGGGGAGACGGGGAGTGACGAGAGAGCATACAAAGAGAAGGGATATGAAAACAAAAGACGGGGAACATAGTGATGGTGGTACAACAAGGGCATGTAAGGATATGGAAAGAAAATGACAGGGAATTTGGCTTGAACCCATTTTGATAAACAGAGCAGGTAACATTCTACATTTAGAAAATTTGTAGGGTTCAACTTACCTTCAATTCAATTTCTCTCTTAACACTGCTACTATGATGAACGAATGTTCCAATTAGACCAAGGAATACTGTCAAGCCTGTTGAGTACATATATGGAAAAAAGATATTTCATAAAATTTGCTTATAATTGTCTCTCCCTCCCCCCCCCCCCCCCCCCACGAGCCAGAATCTGCATGTACTAAAACAATAACATACATGTAAAATGAAATAAAACCTTCTTCAAAAGCTTAAAACTCAATGGTCCATATTCTACTAATTCAGCTAAGTACACACCCTGGTCTAAGATCACATTTAACAAAGGAAAACAAATCTCACACTTACTTCCTTTGTTAAACCAGATTTTAAAACAAAAGCTATAGCCCATTGACAGGTCTAAAGTTGTGTATAATACGGGCCATTGTGCTCCAGTAAATTAACCTCCTTTGCCTAAAATCTAACATCTTTAAAAGGATCTTTCAACCTCCAAAACAATCGATCGCCTATTCACTAAAAATACTACGTTTTTACAATTTCCTATTGACTAAAATGATGTTCTACAAATACAGCAAGTTTGAAAGTTTGCTAAGCATGACAGTCCAACTGACATGAACGCACCATTAAAAAGAGACTTGATAGTAAATTAAATTTCTCTCATATGTATCTTGGTTTATGACAGCTTGTACATGTACGAGCAGGTATTTCTGACAAACGAATATTCTTACCCAATCTGTGGTCATAAGCTAACTTGCATGCCAAGATGAGAACAAAGAGGAGTAGCTCAGCGATCCCCTCTGACAGGTAGTTGGACAGGTTTGTGTCTGCCAGGGATCCCCTCCCTCTATTCTGATCCCTGTCTCCTTCTGCCTCTGCCTCCTCCATGGATGCACCCCCTCCTCTTCCCCCTCCTCCTCCTCCTCCTCTCCTGCCACCCTCTGGGCCACCTCTAGAAGAGGGGAACCTCCCTTCGGAGTCTGGCATGTCGATGACGACATCCTCGTTCGGGTGTCCGTCTGCGGCCTCTACGTCTGGAGGTGGGTCCATGGTCTGGAGACCTGGGATCATGTTCTGGAGAGCATGATTGAACTGAGTCCTTATACTACTGGCTGCCATCGCGTTACAGACGTCTTCAACGATGCTGTGGCTCCCAAGGAAACAGAACTTGCATATTACCTCCCCATGTCTAACAACTGGTATCTGTTGACATAGAAGAGATGAAACTTCTCAGTTTATTACAAGAATCCTTGTTTGATTGTTTCAATCAATCGAATAACAATTTGCTACATGGACTGTACAAGGCCCTAACAATCTTTTTGTCGTGGAGGTCCAGAGCAAAATATTGGAGGGGGCTTAAATGCTTGTAATGTGAACCGTACTGTACCATACCCCGCCAGAAGCTTGCCATGCAGGACCACCTCCCAAGGTGATCCAGAGCGTGCCAAGGCAAACTGTACTGTACCTCAATGAGGACCTAAACTTCTACAAGCGTTCTGTACCGGAAGTGATCTAGGGTGCCAAATTGCAAAAGTTGTTATACATGTATTCCGAAATTCACACAGAGAATACAATGAGATCTGCTTTATTGCTATCCAACAGCATCGGGCGCAGGCCAGGTTGCTCGATAATCGTTCAAAGTGGCACGCCACATAGCTTCACCTTTGACATGTTGCTACGCGTTTCAGGATTCGGTATTGGCATTGCCATTGTGCTCTCTGCTTCAGCACTCAGTGTCAGCAGGCCCTCTCTCACTTAAATTCAAAGTCGCTCGAGCGGATTAGCCACTGGGAGCGCGTCAACTCACCGTACAGCACTCATTGCGTAAAGTTCTATGTGCAGGATTGACAATAAAAGATCTAGATTTCCGATTCAATTTTCAAAAAAAAAATTCCAACAGTCAACATCAATCCAAAGTCACTTTGTCAGTGATTTCAAATGATTAAAAAATATCGACAAATGTCTGTTTTCTTCACAAAACCAGACGGTTATTTCTTTCTAGATCTAGTGTTATGATATGAATTCATCTTCGAGAGTTTCAACTTCTATTCTAACTCAGTTCTAACGTTTGTGTTAGATCCGATTAAGTATCTAATCTTAACTCAAATAAGAGCATGTGGGACTGTGGGGAAAATTGTATTTGACTTACCCTATTGATTCTTGGTAGCCTAGACTGTCATCATACAAAAAGGAACAAAGTACAGTAGTATGCTTCAAACATTGACACATATAATCAGTAGAGTAAAATAATAAGATAGTAAAACATAGAAAATGTACGATTTAGTAGAACTTAGAAGACGTCGTACGTGCCCTCAATCGCAATCTTCAGTGACAGGCAATCATGACGTCACTAGTGCATTCTCACAATCACCACTGAAATTAAAATACATAACATGTACTTGGTAGGATTCCTCCAAAAGATGCCGTAAAGGAGGTGGTATGATAATAATGATCATGTAGAAGTAATAATAATGATGATCATAGTAACAATAATACTACTACTAATGATAATACCAATAATGATAGCAATAATAATAATAATCATTGTAGACTACCTGATATTAAACATACAGCTGATATTCATATAGTGTATACTAGCTATAACAATAACAATAAATAAATAAAGTAATAACAAAAACAACAACAACATTAATAGAAATCAAATAATGATAATCATAACCATAATAATATTGATAATCATAATAATGATAATGATGATGATGATGATGATGATGATGATAATAATACTGATAGTACCAATAATGATAATAATAACAATAATCCATGATCGATCCATTAACTTTGAAGAAATAAAGCCGCTATAATTGATTGATGAAACCAGGCGCGGATCCAGGGGGGGGGGGGGGGGGAGGGGGAGCCAGCGGGCCCTGTCCCCCCCCCCCCCGCAAAAAAAAAACCAACAAAAAAAACTGAAAGGGAAAGAAAGAAGAGGAAGAAAAAAGAAAAAGGGGGAAAAGAAGGAGATCGGGGGTAGGGGGGGGGGGGGAAGGGCCTTGCCTTCCAGCTGTTACCTATTTCCCCCCCCCCCCCCAGTCAAAAATAAGAGGGGGAGGAAAGGGAAAGAAAAAAGGAAAACAGGAGATAAACGGAAGGAAAAAAGAGGAAGAAGAAAAAAATAAGAAGGGGGATATCAGTTGTAATTTTCCCGCCAACAAGTTGCCCTTGCCCCCCACCCCCACCCCCAAAGGGGGGGGGGGGAGGGAAAGAGGAAAAGAGGAGAGCTAAAAGGGAACAAAAACAGGAAGAAGAAAGAAAAGGGTGAAAAGAAGGGGGAACAGTTGCGATTAATCCCTCTAAAACGTGTGGATCGGAGGGGGGGGGGGCGAAAGGCCCTTGCCTCCCCCCATCAAACTTAAAACAGAGTGAGAAGGAAGGGAAGGGTAAGGAAAAGAGGAGAGAAAGGGAAAGGAAAAAAAGAGAAAGAAGAAAGGTAGGGGGATCATTTGCGTTTTTCCCACAAACAAGGTGTAGATCGGGGGGGGGGGGCACAGACATACTGATGGGGGAGGGGGCTTGGGGGAGACAGATGCCCCCAAATATAATTCAAACGTGGTTTATTTCTAATTCGTACCGGTGATTTACAAATGTTGCTGAAATGACATAATTTTCCAAAATTTTTCCTCAATCTTAAGTAAATTATACTTTTTTATGCGTTTGTTGGAAAATGGCAAATTCCTAAAGAAAGAACGAAAGAATAGCAACCTGCCTTTCTCACAAAATAATGAAGTGTCAAAATGTGCTCATCTGACCGTGAATAAATGCATAAAATCCCTGAGCTTCCGGGGGCTCTGCCCCCTTGATTTCACCTAGGGCCCTAAGGCGGGCACCTGGATGCTCATCTGACGGTAATTCAAGGCTTAAAACCCCTGAGCTTCTGGGGTCTCCGCCCCTGGACCTCACGCCAATTAGCGTCCTGCCAGTGTCACAAATAAGGTATCAAAATATGTTCATCTGACCGTAATTACATGCCTAAAACCTCTGAGCTTCCGGGGCTCCGCCCCCTCGAACCCGCCGGCGGCCCTAAGGCGGGGCCTGCATGCTTGTCTGACCGTTATAAAAATGCATAGAACCCCTGAGCTTCTGGGGGCGCCACCCCGTGGACCCCGTGCCAATCAGTTACCTGCCAGTGTTACAAATAAGGTATAAAAATGTGCTCATCTGACCGTAATTTGTTGCCCCAAACCCCTAAGCTTCCGGGGGCTCCGTCCCCTGGAACCCCACGCCAATTTGTGACCTGCCAGTGTCACAAATAAGGTATCAAAATATGCTCATCTGACGGTAATTTAATGAATACAACCCCTGAGCTTTTGTGGACTCCGCCCCTTGGACCCCACACCAATTTGTGACCTGCCAGTAAGGTATAAAATATGCTCATCTGACGGTAATTTAATGTATACAACCCCTGAGCTTTTGTGGACTCCACCCCTTGGACCCCACACCAATTTGTGACCTGCCAGTAAGGTATCAAAATATGCTCATCTGACGGTAATTTAATGCCTAAAACCTCTGCGCTTCCGGGGCTCCGCCCCTCGAACCCGCCAGGGGCCCTAAGGCGGGGCCTGCATGCTTGTCTGACCGTTATAAAATGTATAAAACCCCTGAGCTCCTGGGGGCTCCGCCCCATGGACCCGACACCATTTTGTGTCCTGCCAGTGTCACAAATAAGGTATAAAAATATGCTCATCTGACCGTTATTTATAGCCCAAAACCCCTGAGCTTCCAAGGCTCCGCCCCCTGGGCCCCAAGCCAATTCGTGACCTGCCAGTGTCACAAATAAGGTATCAACATTATGCTCCCCTGACCGTTAGTAAATGCCTATACCTCCTGAACTTCTGGGGGCTCCACCCCTTGATCCCCGGCGGGGCTTCGCCCCTAGACCCCACGCCAATTTACGCTACGCTCTACCTGATCGTAAATACCACCCCCACCCCCGCCACAACTTCTAAGAGAAACGTTCAGCGGGGCTTGCATGTAAGAATGGGGGTGATGCGGATTTTGTTTTGTTTACGCCCCCCCCCCGAAAAAACAAACACAACAGCAAACAAACAAACAAATAGACAAACAAACAAACAAATCCTGGATCCGCGCCTGGATGAAACAGCTCACAAGCATCAGTTTAAACCTAAAAGTGATTCGGCCTTAAAATTGATTTAAGATTCGATGAAACACCCCCTGTATTATGCCTCCCACGACATACTATTGAAAATAGTCTGTATGAGTTCCATCTGTTTTCTAGATTGAAGGCACCAAAGACATTACGACCCTCTATCAAGGACACTGGATCAACTTCTGTTCTTCCTAATTGTATACAGTCTGGAGACATCCTTCAAAAGACAAAAGCAATAGTCAGGTTGATTGGTGTGCACTGGACACTGGTCACTATCTGCACAAGTTTTCTGCAGTGTGCAAAACGTTAATTGTTGTCTTTGAAGTTTGAGGGTGGTTGTTCTCATGGGAGATTATCCAGAGTTGGTGATCGTACAAAGGATGGTAACCTGGGAGATAGCTGATCTAGTGCAAGATTGTCCACAATAGTGGGGGATATAAGGGATATTGTGGTTCAGATTGTAAAAGCACCAAACTTTGGACAAGATGTCGACCATACACCAAGGAGTAACTCCTTGACCATGCCATACTGTTATGTTTCTTGACGGGCGCTAGCCCCCTGGGGCCGCCATTTTTGTCACATCAAAAATGGCCACCAGATGTCGAGCCATTTTTCAAATGGGCTACGGATACTGACATTTTGTCAAATTCTGTATAATGAGACTTACAGGTATGGAGAATCCGATTAGATGTCAAGAAATGCCCCCCCCCCCAACTGGGGTCCCTTTGGTAAATTTAATCCAAATGGCCGCCCATTGGAGCTCATGATTTGATAAATTGATAAGATTACTATAATGTTATAGTAATGGGGTTTTCAGGAACAGGGAATTTGTTATTCTTTTGATTTGATGTGAAGAAGGGCGCCCCCCTCCCGTGGTCGTCATTTTGGTAAAGTCCAATAATGACCGCCTAAATGGGATTACCATATACTCAAAATAAAAAGCGCTATTTTTTAATATCTTTTTAAACATTTATTGAGTTAACAGGTACATATAATCTGATTCTGATGTTATTCCATTCATTTGATATCAATGAAGGCGCCCCAGCCCTGTGCCATCTTTTAGGTAAAATCCAAATTTGTTGGCATTTAACCCCATTTAACCTGAAAGTCCATTTTAATTAATAGATATAGGACTTGAATAATGGAGGTTTATATTATTATCGTGTTTAAAAGTACAGAGAATCCGATTCATTTTTCATTTTATCTGTTTGATGGCCTCCTGGTGCCGCCATTTTCATGAAATATACCCATCGTCTGAGCTAAAGGTAAGAGAACACTAGAAATAGAATAAATAAAACATTAATGTGATCATGCGCAACTCGGAAAAAGGTGCAAATAAGGATGTACTTGAAGACAAAGATTTATCAAAATCGGTTCAGAGACGGCTGAATTAACCATGAATATAACGATTTATAATACTTGTGTACCCCCACAAATATTAGATTATTTGAAAAAGCCGTTGAAAAAACGAAATGGCGCCTTTTACGTCGTATTTCAGCCAATGCCGATGCTAGCTTTTTTTGTTTGTTTTTTCGTGTTTGTTATAATACTAACAACCAGCCGGCCCATGTATTGTTATTATTAATTCATTAATTATATAACGGTCATCGTATTTTTTTGAAAGTGGAGCTGAATTTGTATGATTGTATTGGCTAAATTTCACACATTTTGGGGTCTAAAATTACCTTCATAGCAATTTTAGGTATTAAAAGGGCACTATAAATGTCTTGGATAAGAATAAGAGCAATAAATATGCACTTTGAAGGCATTTGCGGGCTGAAAACAGAACTCAACTATCTCAGTCTCAAGATTCTTTTCTGCACTTTTTTCTTCTTTTCTGTCGAAAAGTATACATAACTGTCACTGTTCGCAACTCAATCAACAAAGTATCAAAAAACAACTGGTCATTAATTGTAAATTTCAGATCTTCTTTACTAACATGTTCAAATTGTTTACCATCAAGACAGTCAACATTAAGGTACTGTAAACAAACTTTATTTTTTCATCTTCTCCTTAATAAGATTAACAAATTCAGATTTTTTTTCAAAAATGAGTTATTAAATTTCCAATAGTTAAATCTCTTATGGCATTTATCTACCACAATGTCTAAACTGATCAATGAATGATGAGTGCGATAGCCAAAATCAATTTCACATTTTCTTAGCAAGGAAAGTATATCTGCAGACATTAAAAAGTAATCCAACCTACTTTGTTTCAAAGGTATAGGCTGTCGCCAGGTATATGATTTTGTATCAGGATGAATTTGACGCAATGGATTTACTAAGTTAAAGTCATTTTTTAAATCTCATCTACCTTTCCCATGCTTTTACCAAGTCGAAGGTAATTAAAAGTGTGTAACTCCATACTCTGTACAAGGTTCCAATCACCACAAATAATGTTGTGAGGATCATCATAATCTAGTAAGAGGTTTTTATACAACTAAAAAATTATGGGAAGTCATTATTAGGCCCATAATATTGCTCTCAGTGAAAATTCTAGAAACCAACCTGGATACTATAAGGGCTACATAGTTTCCATCAGTATCACTATTTACTCTTTTTATAAGAAAATGTGTATTTTTGTCTAACAATATTGCAACTCCTCTTGCATTAAATGATTTATATGTAAAGAAGCCTCTTCCATCCCACTCTTTTAATATTTCTTCTTCGCATTCAAAAACAAAATGAGTGTCATGTCAACAATACAATTATGTTTACATCTTTCTTTTAAAAACAAATAATAGATTCTTTCTTTTACAACTTTCTCCAAGTCAACGGCAGTTTATTGATATTTTAATATCTTTACTATTCATAAAAAATGAAAACATTATTACAAAATTATTAAAACTCCCAAAGATGATAACACTGTAGAGAGAAATGACATACATAAAATGACATTTTTAATTTTGAAATGCGCATGAATTATCATGAATACCATGCATTACCCCAAAACGCCATGGAATCTTTTTCTAGAGCCTTATTTATGTTTGGCTCGCCTACTATGATAGGAAAGTTAAACTATTATGACAATTATAGACAGGGGTTATCTGAGAATATTTTTTAATTCAGGGAATCAATATTGCAGGAAATTTCTGAATTGCTCGGAGTTTATTTATTTATTTATTTATTTATTTATTTATCTATTATTAGACAGGGTGACTCATTATCAACAATAATGGTGGTCTTCCATTAGGCCCTGTTAAACATATAATAAGGAAAAATAGTTACACAAATATTGAAATAATAATGATAATCACAAAATCATGAACATAGACTCATTACAACAACAAAGAATAAGTAAAAACATGTATACACATATTTACAAAGTATTTAGTATCCTCGTACTGAATGAATGTTTTGTTCGTTTTGTTTTGCTTTGCTTTTTCGTTCAAGAAAACGTTGTTACATGATTATAATATCATATAACATCATAGAATAAACGTTAATTAGTTTCTAAATCCGATTATAGTAGCATTTAGCTGGGAATATAACTTTTTTTTTATTTACAGCAAACCATTACAGTAGTCTAAATGACATGTCACAAAAGCCTCAAGGGTTTCATATGTATTTAGGGTTAAAGTGAAAGTAAGATGGTACGTCTTTAAAATGTTTTATCTATGTTACGTGGCTGCGTTAATGACAATGCAGATCTATATATGACGTATAAATGTGAAAACAGCATTTAAAAAAAAGGAAATTGTACACACAAGCCGAAAATCCTAACCAGAATGACCTAAGCATAATATCCAAAAACAAAAATAGTGGCTCCAGCCAAAAGTAGACCGAAGAAATTTGTAACTTTCACCCAAAATGGGTCGTTGGCTGTCCCTGGATTCTCTGCCAAGGCCTCGGCTTCCTTCTCCGCCTTTGTTCTGTCATCATCATCGTCAATTGGTGAGGTGCTGATGCCGCAGAGAACGGTCCAAATTTTCCATTTGAGCCCGGTTCGATTGTGATACTCTGTAAGGGGGAAAATGATACGTTATAGTGTGTGTGTGTGTGGGGGGGGGGGGGAGGGTGGGGGTGGGTGTATGGGAACCAGTAGCCAGGATGAGTGAGGGCAGACTTCGGACTATACAGATGGCAATGGCAGCCTGAGGGGTCGAGTTGGTGCTTTGTATTGCCTTATTCTGTTTGGACACACCGCTAAAAGCGGGGTGAAAACGAGATGATAGAACCGGCCATAGACAGTTATCAAACTTATGAATATAAATAATATATTATTAGTTATAAATAACTTAAAGTCTTCTAATCAAAGCAAGGAAATGATAAATTATTAGCATTCGACTGATTCCAGGTAACAACGATAACAACGAAAGACAAACAAGTAGTACAGACATAAAATATATGCCTCCGCTGTCATAATGCAACTTAAAATTGTTTAGCAGCTTGCATTAGATGGATATCGAATACGTATACGATATTGAAGAATACTGTTTTAGTACATGTAAATTCTAGCTCATAGGGGGGGGGGGGGGGGGGGGGGGGGTTGGGAGATACTATCATAAGCAAATTGTATAAAATATATCTTTTAGCCCTAAATGCACTTGACAGGTTTGACAGTATTCCTTGGTCTAATTGGAACCTTCGTGCATCATAGTAGCAGTGTTAAGAGACAAATTGAATTGAAGGTAAGTTGAACCCCCCAAATTTTCTAAATCTAGAATGTTACTTGCTCCAGTGGCGGATCCAGGAAGGTGGTAGGTGGGGGGGGGGGGGGGGGGGGACAGGTAAAATCACGTTAATTTTGCCTTTATTAGTTTAACAAAAAAGAAGATGGGCCCCCTCAGCTGGTTCTCAAGGGGGGGGGGGGCTATTTTTCAAATTTTCGGGGGCAAACAAAATTTTGAAATATTACTGCTCACTACTCACTAAACAAAAAACAACAAAAATTAGTGCTCACTACCCCCACCCCACTGCCCAAATGCTATGATTGCCTATTTGTAAATTTGAATACCTTAACGTTCATGGGCCGTGCAGGTGCGAATTCGAATGCATTTACGTGCATTTTTAACGCGCTTTTTAGACGTTTTATATGTCAGAAAATTATGAAATCGCGGGCTAATACAATCAAATTGAATGAACTAGTTCCCTCTTTTAATCTTGATCTTGGTGATCATTCAAATTCGCTCGAAATTGAATGATTGCATCATTAAATCGGATGCAACTCTGATGAAATTGGGCGAGAAAACCTATATTCATTTTGAAAGATACATGTTTGGCAATAAAGCACAGACCCATTTTGTACAGAGGTCGCATCAAGAACAAACTTGACCGTCCTGATTTGAACTTGCAACTCACAATGACTTCCGCAATCAAACAAAAATACTGGTGGGGCATTGGGAGTACAACTTACTGATGTCAGACTCCTTCTTTCGCTGGCTCTTAATTTCATCGTATTCCTTCTGTCTTTCGTCTTCCTCTACTGACATAGGCTCCCGGGGGGAAGTCGAATCTTTGGTCCAAAATGTCAACCTGACCAGCTGTTGGGGAAAAAATGTACTAATTTAAAGTCACATTTGACTTTGTCAAATCACATTTGAGTTGGCCTAGCGATAGCATCCGTGCTACGACCAGCTCTCTGTCTTCACTTACCAAACTGAGTCTTATCCGACCCAGTTTCTCGAGAAACTGAGTCGTGTCTTTCGGAAAGTTATGTTCAAGATCGGTCCTATACGTACAAAGTCATATGTGATTAATACACGTCTGTACTGACTGTACAACCCCATTATTAACACACACACCTGCGATAGACAGTTACTTCACCAAAAGTTGCTCGCTCCTGATTGATCAATAATATTCATAGAACTTCAAATAGTTTCCTCCATCACCTCGTATCGATGCTTTTTCTATGTCAAACGTGTTCTATCTCTGAAATTTTCGGATAACCGAGTTTTTCCTTCTTTTCCGATTTGTACAAATATAACAAATCGGGACAATAATAGCATATTAAAAGAGACCATCATGATATCTTGAAGTTAAACTTCGATAGCATTGTTCGATTCAGAAGTTCACTTCTATCAATTTTACTAAATTTAGTTTTTTTTTTACCTTCGTATTTTTGTTTCATTGTTATCTGATTTGAAGAAGAAAAAAAAAACAGTTATATAATGTAAATAAAGATGTAGTTATAGTTTTACTGCTTTATAGTGATACCACAAGAAAACAGGGGATAAAGGAGAAAGAGAGAGAGAGAGAGAGAGAGAGAGATGGGAGAGAAAGGGAGGGAACAAGGGATAAAGAGGATGATAAAGAGAAGACAGGGAGACATATAGACAGAAGTCTAAGGAGGAGAGTGTTAAGATGAAAGAAAAGAAGAGAGAAACATGGAGGAAATGTTATCAAGAGAGAAGGAGACATACAGAAACAGAGACAGTGGAACAGAGAGAGAGAGAGAGGGAGAGAGAGAGAGAGGGAGAGAGAGAGAGAGAGAGAGAGAGGAGCGGGATTAGATGGAAAATTCTGTCAGAAAGATGAGATATAAACCTTGGTATGTGGAATGCGTTTGGTCATCAGGCTGATACCGACGACGAGAATGACGGAAAAAGCGTAGAGGAATGCCGCGAAATGCAGGAAATGAAAGTTCTTGAGGATTGCTGGTCGGTTGTCCTCATCCAAACAGCCTGGTATGCCATAAGCGAATTCCATGATCGCTCGGGCGACCCCCGCAGAAAAACCAATCGCCAACCCCCAGAATGCACCCTGCAGATTGAAACAAAAAGGGTCAAACCTGTTACAGCGACCATCTGTATAGAAAGACCATTCGTGTACATATGCCATTTTTTACCCTTGAATTTTTTTTTCCCATTGAAACATGTATTAACATCATTAAAGTTACCTGTACATAAGGACCACATCTTCATAAAGACCGCTTTTCTTATCTCCTTTTAGCGGTCTTTATATAAAGGTGCCATAGTATATGGATAATAATTCATCGCTTACTACTAAAATAGAATATATTAAATGAGTTAAGATTGAGGGGTATTCAAACGAAAAATGAATTGATATTTGTTTAGGGTGATCACAAAGCACCATTAGAGTGTATTAATAAAGTCAAGGATGTCATAGGCAAACTTTGGGGGTTATACGATACATACTTCGGTGATTTTCTTCTCTTCAATAACTTATCAAATTCTAAATATCTTACTGGACCCCCCCCAAAAAAAACCAAAAAAAATACAAAAATACAAAAAAACAAAAAAAATACAAAAAAATACCCCCCAAAAAATAAAAAAAATACAAAAATAAATAAATAAATAAAATAAAATAAAATAAAATAACTAAATAAATAAATAAACAAATAAAAAAAAAATAGATAGAAAAATAGAAATGTATGTTGAAAATATGATATAGAAATCTTTAAAAATCAAATCAAGGTCACCTGCTCGTTGATTCTCGACCAGAGGACAGATGTCGAGAAGACGGCAAAGACAGGCGGGGAGAGGTAGGCGAGGACAGACTGGACGTAGTACATGATACCACCAGAACCATACGACTGGATGACAGGAAGCCACAATACCCCTAAACACATGATCACCAAGGTGCACAGCCTGGTATCGGTGATGAACATGGGTGGTGGTGTGGTGAGAGTGGTAAAAATGGAGAAAAGGAAAGTGGGAGAATTCAAATTCAAATTCATATGATTCATTTGAAATCAATCCCTGATACGAAAGTAATATTACGAAAAACAAAGAACCAAAACAAAGCAAACCCGAGATATGCTTAATAGGAACGAAAACCTCCACAAAACAAAAGAAAACAAATAAATGCAGGACATAATTATGATCATAAAACACTCGACAAAAAGATTGATATATCAAAACGTCGACAAGAAAAGGAAAACTGTATTCAAACAAGATGTAACTTGTTTCCTAAATCTGGTAATACGATCAGATTTCGTAGGGAAAGGCGTGGAGGAGGAGGGGGTGGGTATATACGACACAAAATTTTGCTCAAACATGTAAATACTAAAAACTGAACTAGATAAATAAATCAAATAAAATTAGCAGGTGATGTAGGTAAACACACACACACACACTTAAACGAACAAAATAAGATTGAAAAATTAAATAATTGATTTGAAGTGACAAATCTAATTATCGTTGAAGACACAAATATTTCATACTTTGCCCCGAAACTGTTTGGTCTTGCACACCTCAATGTCAATTTCGTTTAAACGCCATTCAAATTAGTCACGTGTCCGTTAGCCATATGGATATTTGTTACGATTTGTCCTTTTATTTCTACATGCATCTTGCTTTGTGTATATGGGTAAATACTTATTTTGACGGCGTATCTGCGTAGGTCTATGAATTATCTTTATCACCATCAGAACCATTCGATTGAGTTCTTTAATATGTTTTTTCTTCTTTTCGGCTATTCATCGATTGTTCCAACTTTGATCATGTTGAACCCAGACTTGCCTTAAAAACTATGAATGACCAACAATACGATGTATAGACACCAAGCTGGAATTCACACAAATAAGATATCGATTTCATGAAAGGAAACAAAAAAGGAATGTGGAAAACAGTTATCTACATTTTTTTAATGTTGTCCCTTGGAAACCAGATTTCATTGCTCATATTGAAATTAGGCAAAAGTTCATGAAAGAAAATTGTATGTACACCTGCAAAACAAAGGCTTGTATATATTTGTTCATATCTATCTATCTATCTATCTATCAGGCTATAGCTCATCCAGACGTTGGACAAAGCCCTCCTCATACCATTTCCATTCTCTTCTGTCTTTAGCTATCCTAGTCCAAGCGGCCGTTCATATACATGTATCTTATTCAACAATTAAAAAGGTGTATAGAAATTAGGAAAAGGGTGTTTGCCTTAACTTCAGGGCACTTTTTTAGCTCAATTTCTTGTCTATCCCGACACATTTGAAATAAACTCTATTGAAATTAATTGGTTAAAGACGACTTTGATCATGACATTCAGGAGCGGACCGTTAGGTAAGCCGAATTTAATAAAGTCTGACAAAATTGAAAGGACATAATTATGTTGAAATTGAGTGACCATTGAGAAACTTGAAAGAAAAATGACTAAATTAATTTTGCGCGATCCCGGATAATTACCTAGGACAAGATTAAAGTGCCCAAAGATAAATTTTAATTAAAAAAAAGTGTTAAAAATGGACGGGAAATGCTATATTATCCTGGAGACAAAAGGGTTTAAGTCATATACTTTTTGACGTAGAGTAAGCGGTCTTCTAGCCTTTAGCTGACGTCTTTTACTTAGAATCTACTTCTTAGTCTCCAATCAACGATTAAAAGGGCATTAAAATGTCCTGCGCGTATATTTACTAATAAGACACAGATATGACCTAAAGCGAAAATGAAGAAGAAAAAAAAAACTGTGGTGGTTTACCGTGTTAAGTATGAACAAGCCCTTAAGGGTAAAACTAGTTCTTGTTTGGTCTGAGGTTAGACCCTGTTTCATAAAACTTGTTTTATATAAAGTTACAATAACTGTTATAAGCTACTGAATTCGTGGCATTTGATTGGCTGAGTGCAAATTTGCCATAGAAATTTAGCATTTTTTTTTCATTGATAACAAGTTTCATGAAACAGGGCCCGGGTGTCGGTTTCGTTAGTATGAGAAATGTACTTTAAAGGAACGAAAGTTTACTTTCCAATGATAACCATTTCAAGTTCTGTTGAAGACGGCCGAAACTTGACCCAGATATCAAGGACAAACATGGAGCTGGCCGCATTGAAGATGGAAGTCAGAGTGCTGACCAATCCTGCCAACATGGCCGCCAACATCAGGCCCTTGGCACCTTCAGGACAAGAACGAATAGATATTTATTTTATTTTTAAACCCTTCACATGGTTTCTTTTTCATGCAATATCAAACATAAATATATTTAATAATGTATTTATTTTTTTATATATATAGAGAAAAATTGGAGTCGAAAATTACAGAAATAATCATGTAGAGTGACATGATTCGGTTAGCATTAAATTCACTGTTCCTCATTACTCTCTCCGTTTTAATCGGGGATAGCTGCAAAAAGTTACAATTCATACTTATATGTATATATAGTTGATCTCAAGAATTAGAAAATATAGATATTATGAGATTTGGAACTGAAATCACCATATTATTTAGAAATTAAGCATACTAGTTTTGGTTCTTTATCTACTGTTCAGTTTACATATGTATTTTTTTTCTTCATATTATGCTTCATATGCATTAAACTGTTGTTTTACCAAATATACACGAATATGATGTCCTATGTCAACTAAGTTCTTTAAAAAAAATACAAATAAAATATCATGACGTGTCGACTTTTACCCGTGGGCATGAGTTCGACGACCAATTTTGCGTAGGCGATATCCGCACAGCCAGCCGGATTGTTGCAAGCTCGTTGACATATTTCCGGTTCCACGCACGCAATCTCATCTAGATTGCCATTCAAACAAGGTAAACAAAAAAAAAACATGACAGGAAAGACTGGTGGTGAAAAGCCTTTCAGTTGGTCGACGACAATAATAACAATTAGAACTGGAATCGCGTTAGAACGCCGGGCATGCATTGACGCCCGTGTTTCTACATGTCATCCGAAAGAGCGTCTCTTGGACTATTTATTAGAAGTCTGTAGCATCTATGAGAGTGGAGTTAGGTATATATATATATATATATAGACAGAAAGAAAGGCCTCAAAAAACGGCCCAAAACGGACAAAATGGCTCCTGGACGGTCACGCACGAGTGATTTTGGACGACGAAGAGCTTAGTGGCCTTAACGGCATGCTAAAGAGAACGAATGGGATTTAGGTGAATGAAAAACGCATCTTGATATGACGTCGTATGACGCGTGCTGTGGCATAAATGCCCTAAATCAAAAACTTTTTGTAATTTTTAAATCTTATCAGGCATAATTATCCCTAGAAAATATTTCTCACGAATGTGTTTTTGCCTTTTTCTGATTCTAACACTCCTTTTTGCCAATTACACACGAGGCGTTATTGTGATTGCGTCATTACCTGCCCTAATCATGCCTGTCTAAAATCTCATTTCAATTATTTTTAAATCTTGTTGCGGTCCAAAGGTTTCGTTCGCCTCTAGCTACTCACCAGGCCAGAGTGATCTACTTATCATCCCAGGCCATATCATCAGGTACATGGGCACGAGCTTAAAGAAACCAGTCATGATACACCCCGCTTTGCTGTGGGTTATGTTCTTCGCTGATAGAGTACGTTGCACGATTACCTGAAACATTCAAAGAACAAAAAAGTGGAGAAAAACAAAACGTAAAAGTCTGGACAAAAATATGATAAGCCTAAAATAACTTCACACGGGTATCCAGGGGAGGAGGGGGGGGGGGGGGGCTGAAGCACCCCTCACGTGCGAACCCCCCCCCCCCACACACACACACACATAAAGAAAGAAAGAAAGAAGCAGAATAATAACAAACGAGAATGCTCCTTAGAAACCAATGATTTTAGGACAAGAAGCAGGAGATAATTCGCGGCTAAGCAGTCTTGATTCTTCTTGAAATAGAGCATCCAATATACCTGATATTGATATGTAACCTGTTAAAATAGATAGATAGATAAATAAATAAATAAGTGAACGGAGCTCTTTGACCAAGCTCGCGTGTCTTCTTTGATCACTAGGTGGTTCTTCCTGGGAATGCAGACCTGGGGGGTGTTTCACAAAGATCCTAAGTCGAACTTAACTCTAAGTTGGACTTAAACATTATGGAGAGCCACTTGTAGCCTTAAAATCAAATATGTTCGAAAGCAATAGTTCAAGTATTTTACACTTTCATAAATTCCACAGCAAGAACATGAAATCTTCTTGATAATAGAAAATAATTATGAATGATTTGAATCAAAATGTTATGCCTTTTGAAATAAGTTGTACAAAATATTTTTCGAATGATGCTAACGGCTTTCCATAATTGTTAAGTCCAACTTAGAGTTAGGTTTGACTTGGGATCTTTGTGAAACACCCCCCCCCCAGGTATATGCATTTAACCTCCGTAGAATGTCTTCTACTTTCTTCAAATTCAGTGGGATGCTTTAATAGACTTTCATGTGAAAGACCCTTTGTATCCCCGAATGCAAGTTGCATGGTCGTCATTCGTCATCTCCACCCTACTCAAAAGACCTGTTCTTCGTATATCAATAGGCCATTTTCGTAATGTATCCAAATGTAATGCATAAGTCTTTGTGAAGTACCTCAATACATATTATTTCATTCACCAGAAAAGAATAATAGTATTTCAATAGACAGAATCCGAACTGCATACATTAGTTGTTGCCAGGTTGGACAAACATTATGGCTTGACCTACCTATCAACACTTATCATGCAGTTTGCATTCTGACTATTGAAATACTATTATTCTTATCAGGTGAATGAAATAACTTGTATTGAGGCACCTCACAAAGACTTATGCATTAAATTTGGTTACATTACGAAAATGGCATATTCATCTGCCGAGTAAATCCGATGACACCCCCCCCCCCTCCTTCCCTCATGATAGCAAAGTCGTTTGACCAAGGCCACACCACTGGTGACACTGATAGGGGGTATTGTGTGAGCCAGAATGATTCCGGGTGCATTCAGAGTATTCACTGTTTTTTGTGCATTAAAACACATAACACGAAACGAAGCAACAACCCCCCCCCTCTCTAAAACCCCTTCTTCAGCTCTCAATTTTTTTTCACCTGGTTCGTGCACCAGAAGTAGAGTCCCAGTAAGAAGACACCGAAGACGAGCCCAGGCCACGGGAGATCATCGTCCTGGGCATCCCTGAAGATATGCCACGCTTCCTCTGTCGGGATCCCGCAGCTTGTGTTGCCGTAGATCTGTGTCGTGTTAGGAATCGCAGTCATGTAGAGCAGACGAAGGTTACTGATGCCACCGATCTCTGCTATTGCTGCATGATGGTCAGAAACATGGAAAACCATTCGGTATGTATTTGATACAGAGATTATAGATGATACCAGCACCGTATCTTTGAAGCAGGTGATTGCTTAAAAAAAAATCTCCTTAGAGGCACTCTTGGAAGAATTATTTACAAATTTGAACACGCTTGTAAAGAGGTATTTTGATGAAGAAAAAACCCTTAAATGGCAGCCCTTTGGTCCAAGTGCTTGGAGACCTTTTCTTGATGTTAATCTAGTAGACCAACGAGAAAGACTGAATCAACAATTTGAACATAATCACATTGGTATATATCTTTTGAAGGAAGCTTTAAAGGTATTTGCTGAACGTTTAAAGGTTCGTATAAAAGGTACGTTAACAAAAATAAGATACGCAGTTCAAGAACCCTTTAAAGACATCGTTTAACAATGTTAGATCTGAGATGCACGGCCCTAAATGTTATCAGTGTCTGTGATATACAGGCACGTAGCCAGAGTTTGATGATTGGGGGGGGGGGGGGGGGCACACATGTAATCGATCAAGGTAAAAAAAAAGGGTCTAAAAAAGTTCACCCGATTTTGGAATTTTTTTAGGGAGCACGTGCCCCCCCCCCCCCCCCGTGGCTACGTGCCTGGTGATATGATGTAATATTGAAGCCCCCCAAAATTGCGCTATAAAATGATCAAGAAGTACCTCAAAAAAATTAAAACCTTTGAGATGACCGGTTTTACCATACTCGTTTTCCCCAAAAGACTGTAGTGTTATGAAAACCGTCAGGAAAATTTAATTTCGATTTTCAGTCATAAATATCTTGATAATCAGACAGGTGAACTGCTTGTAAAAGTCATGGGGTTCCTGACTAACCTAAAGGTTAAAAATTATCATTACAGCATGAGCTAAATCCAGGATTTTATTTCAGAATCGGAGACAAAGTTACCCGACCCCTTTAAGAACCATTTTTCTGGGATTGTATAAAAAGCATTTACTTACATATTCCCATGAGAACGAATGCGCCGACCTGCATGATGATGGCCTGGAGAGCGTCAGTGTAGATGACGGCCTTCAGACCTCCGGCCACGGTGTATATGCTTGTCATCAATAGGAGAACGATCACTGACAAGTAGACGTTCCATCCGAGAGCGGTCGAGATTATCACCGTCCCTCCATAAATCTCACCCTTTTAGAAAATGGAAAAAAAATGGATAAAGCTATTCAGTTCAGTGATCGGTTGGATGATTGATTAAATGATTTTATTTCGCAGCATAAAAATTAAATGCACAATCGTAAAGAGAATAGCACAACATGATGTTATGACAAAATATATTTCCTGGTTTTAGTTTCCGTTTAGTCTTATGCCATATTTCACATTCATATTCATTACATAAATTAAAAGCAATAAACAATAATAATGAAAAGGATTTTTCTTGTAATAGGTAAAAAAAGAAATACGTAGAATAATAAAAATACAGTCGAATTAACATACGGATATAATAATACGACCGCATGACATTTTAACTGAAATTAAATAAATGATTTTGAAGTGATATACGGGGGAATCTAATAAAAAGACAAGCTTTTACATTGAAGTTTGTAGCTTGTAGATTCCCATTTTTATAAATAAGAGCATTTTATTGAGCATGAGCTTATGTTTAAAATAATAAAAAGAAAAAGAAAAGAAAATAAGAGAGAGGCAAGGGTTGAGGGTATTTTGGTGGGTTTGTTTATTATGGGTTAGGGTTTGTTCAGTTCTTGAGATTGTCATGGTGGATGTCTGTATTTGCTCTAGATGTCTGATTTGGATAACAATAAAAATATTGACTGGCTTTACTTTCGGGGGATATCAGAAATATTTACCGCGCTAAGACGGGGCAATATGATCTGAGCTTGGTCAATATTTCTGATATACCCCTCAAGGCCAGTCAATATTATATAAATATCATATACTATCATAATCATATAATATCATATAATATCATACAATATCATATAATATCATATAATATCATATAATATCATATAATATCATACAATATCATATAATATCATATAATATCATATAATATCATACAATATCATATATTATTACCCGTATCAGACATCTGAGCTGGTCATTTACAAAACCGTATTGCCCTAGTTTTCACTAGCAGTGGGAACGGAGGGGTATATTCTTTGTATTTTCCTTGGTCTCCCTGCGCGTATTGACTTTGCGTGTAGAGACGAGTGAAAATATACCTTGGTATTTTCTACGGTCTCGCATTTTCATTGCGCATCTATTAATATTATGCGTACGAGAACCTGCGCTCTTTGCGCGCACTCTATTGTGACGTAATAATCACACCAAATACACACTGTTTGTAGTGTATCGAAAATTTTGTCAAGCACTGGATTCACAGTGTTGGTTTGACAAAGTTTGTTCAGTTCTTGAGATTGTCATGGTGGATGTCTGTATTTGCTCTAGATGTCTGATTTGGATAACAATAAAAATATTGACTGGCTTTACTTTCGGGGGATATCAGAAATATTGACCGCGCTAAGACCATATTGCCCTCGTCTTTCGACTCGGGGCAATATGATCTGAGCTTGGTCAATATTTCTGATATACCCCTCAAGGCCAGTCAATATTATATAATTATTACCCGTATCAGACATCTGAGCTGGTCATTTACAAAACCGTATTGCCCTAGTTTTCACTAGCAGTGGGAACGGAGGGGTATATTCTTTGTATTTTCCTTGGTCTCCCTGCGCGTATTGACTTTGCGTGTAGAGACGAGTGAAAATATACCTTGGTATTTTCTACGGTCTCGCATTTTCATTGCGCATCTATTAATATTATGCGTACGAGAACCTGCGCTCTTTGCGCGCACTCTATTGTGACGTAATAATCACACCAAATACACACTGTTTGTAGTGTATCGAAAATTTTGTCAAGCACTGGATTCACAGTGTTGGTTTGACAAAGTTTGTTCAGTTCTTGAGATTGTCATGGTGGATGTCTGTATTTGCTCTAGATGTCTGATTTGGATAACAATAAAAATATTGACTGGCTTTACTTTCGGGGGATATCAGGAATATTGACCGCGCTAAGACCATATTGCCCTCGTCTTTCGACTCGGGGCAATATGATCTGAGCTTGGTCAATATTTCTGATATACCCCTCAAGGCCAGTCAATATTATATAAATATCATATAATATCATACAATTGTGACATATAATATGCATTACATATATTACAAACAAATTTATTTACAAGAGATGGTGCAGACATTCTGCTTTCAAGTAAATCAAGAAATTTATTAGGATTGGCTTGGGGAGGTCTGTTTCTTTTTACGTAGGATGACAAGTTTTTTTTTAAAAACAGTTACTGCAAAACTTGGCATAATGATTAAACTCATTTAAAATTTCGGTTTGGAATTTGTTCGAAATAGATATCCCTACACCATCCCTTATTTTCCTGATCTTTTATTTCCCGAGTATGTATTATTATCTAACGGGCGTAAAGGGTAATTTCCGTTGCCTGCTCCCCAATATCTACCACCCCTCCCCCTATTAGTCCCCAATATCTAGCACCCCTCCCCCTATTAGTCCCCAATATCTACCACCCCTCCCCATATTAGTCCCCAATATCTAGCAACCCTCCCCCTATTAGTCCCCAATATCTAGCAACCCTCCCCCTATTAGTCCCCAATATCTAGCACCCCTCCCCCTATTAGTCCCCAATATCTACCACCCCTCCCCCTATTAGTCCCCAATATCTACCACCCCTCCCCCTATTAGTCCCCAATATCTACCACTCCTCCCCCTATTAGTCCCCAATATCTAGCACTCCTCCCCATACTCCCCAATATCTACCACCCCTCCCCCTATTAGTCCCCAATATCTAGCAACCCTCCCCCTATTAGTCCCCAATATCTAGCACCCCTCCCCCTATTAGTCCCCAATATCTACCACCCCTCCCCCTATTAGTCCCCAATATCTACCACCCCTCCCCCTATTAGTCCCCAATATCTACCACTCCTCCCCCTATTAGTCCCCAATATCTACCACCCCTCCCCCTATTAGTCCCCAATATCTACCACCCCTCCCCCTATTAGTCCCCAATATCTACCACCCCTCCCCCTATTAGTCCCCAATATCTACCACTCCTCCCCTATTAGTCCCCAATATCTAGCACTCCTCCCCATACTCCCCAATATCTACCACCCCTCCCCCTATTAGTCCCCAATATCTAGCAACCCTCCCCCTATTAGTCCCCAATATCTAGCACCCCTCCCCCTATTAGTCCCCAATATCTACCACCCCTCCCCCTATTAGTCCCCAATATCTACCACCCCTCCCCTATTAGTCCCCAATATCTACCACCCCTCCCCATATTACTCCCCAATATCTACCACCCCTCCCCTATTACTCCCCAATATCTACCACCCCTCCCCTATTACTCTCCGATATCTACCACCCCTCCCCTATTACTCCCCAATATCTACCACCCCTCCCCTATTACTCTCCGATATCTACCACCCCTCCCCCTATTACTCCCCAATATCTACCACCCCTCTCTCTATTACTCCCCAATATCTACCACCCCTCCCCCTACTCACCGCCAACATAATGGTGACGGCGACGACGAGGTTGATGATGGAGATAAATGTCTGCAGTCTGTTTCCTCCGAAACGTTTCTTCACATATTGTGGCACCGTCGAAATCTGAGAAAAATAGAAGAAAATAAACGGATAATGGCATCTGTTATAGCTACGGGGTGTGGCGTTCTGGGAGCGTGCCTCCGCAAACCGAAAGGCGAAAATGGGGAAAGGAGAGAAATTTAAAGAGGGGGGGGGGCGCAACATGAACAGAATATTGTACGACCCCTCCCTCTTCCTCCCCTCACTATACTGCTATATCCCCTTTTTGTATCCTCCAAGAAGGGGCAGCACAACAACCCCTTGACTTTGCATATCTCAGAAAGAAAAACAAATCATGATCATTAGAAAAAGTACGAATCCGATTTTGTTTTTCTTCAGAAAACTGAAATGTTACACATCAATGAGGAACCAACCAGGAGCAAAATGTTGACACATAATGTTTTCTCCCGTGAAAAAAAAAAATCATTCACGTTTTAACGGGGTTTCTTTTATAACTAAAGTATATTGACATTCGATTCATTCCACTACTTGTTAAAATACTCTATACAATCATGTAAGTTTGTTTTCCTTTCTGTCAGCTTTTAAATTGATAGCTCTAATTCGTCTACAGTAAGGATATAACAAGATTATGATGAAACTCACCTCTGAAGAGAAATACACGGGACAGAACACAAAGCCAAGGAGAAGTAAGCATATCAATGCCTGTAAGTAAATGAGACCGATAAGAAAAAGAAAACATAAACAAAAACAATGCAAATTCATTCCACAACATCATTGCTTTTCATTACTAAGTAATATATATTGCAAATTTTACTGTTTTGTTATAGGCCTTAATCGGTGATTTTTTTTCCTGACTCATAAGGAAGAGGCCGTTGAAACGATTGCATAAATGTAAAGATGAGTACTGGTCTTGCAGCTTTATTGTGGAAGAAACCGTGTAGGTGCTATTGGAAAATGTTGATTATGCAGTACTTAAGGATTAACGTAGGCCTACATTTCAACTTTTGTGTATAATCAAATTTTTAAGAAATTGACACAATCTTGTCGAAACTTCATGCACTACACAAAGATGAGGTCCTGGGGCTTCAAACATGTTGCCCAGGGAGGAAAGCAGTTTCTTGAAACATGGAATATTGTAAAAGTTTGTTAGGTATCAAGGTGTCCAGGGCACCTCCCCGCGTAATGTCTAGGTGGACTACCTTGACAATAAGCTGCTGGAACAAAATTGGCCGCCATATATAACTATTGTTGGAGACTACTTTTTCAACAAAACATCATTTTAGCATGAGTGAGGCGGTTTAAAAAATATTTTTGTGGCGGTGGGCTTGGGTCCCTCCCCTAGATGCGCTACTGGAGGCTAAAGTTATCAAGAGACAAGACGACTTTCTTACATAATATTCATAAGCGATGACTGCAATACCGGATATTGCGGCAGTACCCGAAATTCCGATGAAAACTTGACTTCCGATGTTGGTCATGTAGAGAGAGAGTCCCACCTGTCCACATGCAAATAAATTGTGATATAAGATTTTCCTTATAGCTACATAAGCACGACAATATTGTACATGTATATTAATAATAATAATAATAATAATAATAATAATAATAATAATAATAATAATAGTCTAATAGTCCACTCCAAATTTTATTAAACCGAAACGGAAATTCTTTTTGCCCGATTGATCATACATAAATTACATAGCATAATTACATAATTACATAGCATTTACGAGGATTAAGGGCTGATCAGACCAGACCAGGACAATGTAGCAATATGCTTCTGGGGCATTCGGTTGGTGGACATATTATGATGACCTAAAAGAAAATGGTCTTTAATGATAATTCTTCAATTTCTTTTACCCAAATTATAACTTTGAAAAAAACAAAATTCGGATTGATTTCTTCAATTTCTGGAACCATCATCAAAAATGTATATGTGGGACTACAGTCAACAAAAATCGCTTTCAATGTAACTCGCACTGGTTCTTCTCTTTATTCCTTTGTGCAAAATGTGATGAAGTGTGAAATATTGATTCACTAGTGAATTTTGGAGGTAATATGGTTTTCAATCTTTGCGGTATGTCAGTTAGAAACAACTAGGACAAAATGTAACGTGAGAAATAACCGTTACGCGAGTAACCAGCATTCTTGTCATTTCTGACAAAGTGGTATGTCCAAGAGTTTGTTAATACTTAAAAGTGTATGTCTCATTTATACCAAACTTCTTACAAAAGGGTACATCAATTTTAGAAGAAAGCTTCATATACGGACATGTTTCAGTAAAGGTCTCTTTTGTCCTTTTCATGAAACGTGAGTAACAAGCACTTTTCATTAGCTTTCAGAAAGCAGACACGTTTCATTAGCTTACAGAAAGCGTTCAAAGCTGACAACCTTTTCCAAAATTCTATTTGCTGAAAAAGAGGGTTAAGTCATGTATACTTTCGTTTAGCGCAAACTTGCTTGGTTCAAACCATTGTTATAAAAGAATGAAAGCTCGAAGAGTAAATTCAACGTCCCTCCAAGTTTAACGTTTGAAGTAACCGTGGAATTGCCCTTCTGCATACACCACGATTCTTCTGTGTAGTGTGTGTATAGACCCTCGAGTATGCAAGCAAAGGGCGTACGTTTTATTGAAATTCTCGTTATCGTCAACTCTATCGTTTAGGTGTGATCATGGTGTGATCAGCCCTGTTTCCAACATCTCTGGGATGTTTTTTGGGTCAAAATTATACGTTGGGGCAGACGCGTACGCCGAAGGGCGGGGGGGGGGGGGGGGGCGGTTAAAACCCCACCCTTAATTTTTTTTTTAATTGAAAAAAAAAAGGGGAAAAAAAGTGCTCTTTTTTTTCCCTAGTAGGATGCTATTCCTTGAACCATTTCAGCGCCTTGAGGCAGCTGAATCCTGGTTAATTATATTATTTTATTTATTGTTGTTTTAATTTTTCCGTTTAAAAATTTAATTTTCCGATTGAAAGTCTTATTTTTTTAAAGAATATTCGATCCCCTGTTTGGCCCGCATCTTCAATATCAGACATCCAATTTTCCCAAAACACATGAAATGAAAATGAATCACCTGAATAGGCTATATGATATTACAAGGAAAAAAGACCAACTTTATTTCACGTTTGTTCTTTCTTACCAGCCACCATGGCATGCTTCGACCTGCCAGAAAGTAGCCGCTTGTCGAATCTTTGCTCCCTGCACATGATGCCTGCAAAATGGAGAAACAATTAAAGAAAGACCGAGGGAATTTAAAAAAATCAATTAAAGTACCATGTATTAAGAAAATAAGGCATGCGTTATACAAGAGGCTGTTTTGATTAAATGTTTAGTCTAGTAATCGGTCTTCACCCCATTTCAGATGAATACAAAATGCAGTCGTTATGGGATTACATTGAATGGTGATATTTGCGATTCAATAGATAAGCTTGTAAATAGAAGTAGCAATTAGCACTTAACAGCACGTAACATTTATGAGTTGTAAAGATAAGCCAGAGAGCGACACACACCCATGATTAACGCTTCACTGACTGGTACACGCCCCTACCCCATACATCCAAGATACACTGTTGGTCATAATGGTGTTTTTTTTTTACCCCAATTATGGAATGATTTTGACAATGGTTTATTCCTACTAGATCTATAGTAATATACATTCTCAGAATGAGGATTAATGCCCCACAAAAGAGCACTAATATAGCACATCGACACGGTGTTGATCTTGGAGCCTCACAGTTACGAAGCTATTGCTTTGCCACTGAATCATGACCGTACGCAGTGGGGGCTAAGGTAGGGGGCAGCCCCCAAAAATTTAAAAAAAACGCAAAGAAAATGCAATAATTTATTAATAATTTATTGCAATTTCCCCCCGGTCCCCCAAAGGAAAAATTCCTCTGTACGGCCATACATTATGGTTCAAGGCATGGCCACACAGAGTTTGTTCAGCAGTCACAAACGTAAGGGGAGCCACACGACGTATTTTTAATCTGTGAAGACGGAACACCTGCGACTGCCGTACGACCTTTGAAGCGCTGGCTAACGGTCACTTAGGCCGTCCCTGCAGCGGCCGTAAATGTTTGACAAATACGAAGGCAGACGCAAGGTAGCCGCGAGGCCATCGGACGCACGACGTATGGTTGCCGTGGAACCGCTCTACGGCATGGATACGTTGTGTCTAAATGTCTAATTGCAACGGCGAACATTGAAATGAAATAAGTTATTACTCCGCACTAAAATCCCACGACGAGTCGGCGACCCGTACGGCCTGCAAAGATAGAGATAGACCCTGGATGACCCTGAGGCCACCACATATTCTCTGCGGCCGCCGCGGGTATCTTTCCATTTCGAAGGCCTACGGCCGCCGTATCCTAGCCGTAGAGCAAATGTGACCTAGGCATTAATGGATGATTTCAGTCTGTGCTCTTTACTCTCATATAAGTCACATGCTTAACACATTTCTCGGTCTTCCTTTATAGTATGTTTTTTGTTATTATGTTATATCTAGTGTACCGTTAGGTACCCCCAAGAAATCATTTATGTCATTCCATCTACCAATGACTTGATTGTGATCAGTCTTGAGATTCGTACCGTTCAATTTTAATAGAGGCAGAAACTTGAAAAAGTTCAATTTCAGTTTTTTTCTTCTCGATACGGCCTGCTGCACAATTACGGAGTACTGTATACCTCTATTTTCTGGTAGTTTAACTGGTAAACAGATTGATGTTATAGAAAGTATACACAAAAGAACCTGTCAGATAATTTTAGGATCAAATTATACTTCATTATGACGATGCTCTTTAGAGACCGAAATTTCTAACCCTTGTGACTCGAAGAGAAAAACTCACCATATAGATCTGGCTAATGCACTAGAAACGAACTTACTGTGCAAATCATGGTTACCGCCACAGAAAACCAACAAATACAATTTACGAAACGTCAATAAAAATCAAAGATTTTCTTGTAAAACTAAGCGATTCCAGGACAGTGATCTTCCCAATCTCACACGTATGTTAAACTTTCACTATGCACATCCAAGCTTATAATTGCCTTAAGAACTGTGCAATATTAAGTTATTTTTAACAGTGGGGCAATATCAATCAGTCATTTTTAATTTCGTATATATTTTACTACCGATGCAATTTTAATTTATGTTTGTACACATTATATTTAATTCCATTTTTCCTGATCTCATGTTGTTATTTTATACTTGCATAGTTGCATTGTACATGTATTTTACTTGCACTTTGAAAGCATGTACAATTTAGTCTATGTCTGCCATTCATGTCTTTAATAAAACTTGATTGAATTTAATTGAATTGAATTGAAATGCTGGGCCGGAGATGTAAGGTTACGAGTCTCATGCAAAATCTACAGCAGGAACGATCGTCATCAAAGACATTCTGAAAAGTCGTAATAAAATCCCAATGTCAATCAAAACATTATCTGAGATTCTCTCAATTTTAATTTTAATTGCCTTAAAATACAAACCAGGTGGTGTTTTTTTTTAAATATTTACAAAACCTTTATTCAGATACAAATCACGGATGACATCATGCATAATTATTTACACCAAGCGAATCACCACATGTTTAAATAAGATGAAATTATGTATCTACATTCACTTGAAAAAAGATTTATGCATTTCTTGTAAATAATTAATTGTCTCCATCCTCTTAGAGGAATTCGCATCTATTTTCAAACCGAACGGTTTTCATTTCATGAAAAAAATCAGTCTGAAGTATCCTAAAACAAATAAATACATTATCCTTGCATAAGATGGGGCTGTAAAATGCACCTGTCCCACTTAAAGTGTAATTTCGAGGGTAGTGATGAATGAATTTTTCTCGCTCGCTTCGTTGGTCTTAATCAAATATAAACGTATGGAATATCACTGTTACCATGGTAACTACGTGCAAATATTTCATTTCATAAAAACGTTATTTTATTTTATTTTGAAGTTTCAATTCAAATCCATAAAAAACACATTTTATGAAAGTATAAAATACAGATAATATATTTTTTTAAACATCACTTTATTGTTCAAACTTGCACAACAAAGGAGAAGATACAAAAGCCCAGGACAATTCCATTTAACTGGAAAATGCAGGGCATTAAAAGTGCATACATGTAGATATACAGTGTACACTGTTATATAACATCAACACAAATTAACTAATTTTACAACATAGTGAAAACTGAGGAGTTATGGATATTCCTAGCTATGCATGTAGATAAAATAAGAGGAGCTAAAAATTGAAATTTTATGATAAATACGAAGCATACATAATGAGTATTATAAGAGTTTGATTTGAGTTAATGTTTAATACAAAGAGGATTCTGTCAATGCCAGGCAATGAAAAGAGGCGAGCAAAAGAAACAAAATATAAGACTGGTTACAAGGTGTATCAGGCGCGTAGCCAGGGGGAAGAAAAAAGAGAAGAGAGGAAGAGGACGTAGGAAGAAAAAGGATTAAGAGTCGAGAACGGTACAACGACTCGTCTTCTTTCTCTAATAATTTATGAAACGTCAAAGCTTCCGCGCTTCGCGCGATCTAATGAATCGTCAGAGCTTCCGCGCTACGCGCGGAGGAAGGGGAACTTGATTCCAACAAGGATAAAGAGTCGAGGACGGTACAACGATTCGTCTCCTTTCTCTAATGAAACGTCAAAAGAAACTGAATACCAATACAATTAAAAAAAAACTCTATTGAAATATATTTAATCAGGATAACAAGAATCAGATATGCATTGTAGAAACAAAACCTGTTTTACATCCTGGTCCTGTTGTTGTTTCGGTAAGATTCACATGACAATCATTCAATTTTCACTTATCACTATTAAACGAGTTATGATTAATTTACTCTTCTTTCTCTTATTAAAGCTTATCCCTTATTTGTTGGTGTTGTATTTTTCGGGGGGTATGGAAGGTTTTAGACGTTTAAGAATTCAAAGATAAATGGTATCAAATAAGTGACTTAATGCCAACAATAGCTACAAGTATTAACGGCTTTAGTTTCAAGTCTCTAAAAACAAGTTTTTACCCAGATTCCCAGTGCGAACACCACGACGAAGTTAATAGCAATGACGGCGATATCCCACCCTGCAATGTTGCCCAAAGTCAGGTTTCCCATGATGACGAGGAAGACGAGATACTGATAGTGATACTTATACTGATCTGATAGAAGCTTGAACCGCGATGGAGGTCGTTTTCTGGTACGTTCTCCACCAATAACCTCAATCTTTTCCACTATTCTCTTTTTGGTTCAAAGCGGGACAAAAATTCAAAGTCCAATTGTAAAGAATTATGAATGTACTCGTTCTACAAATAGGGTTATCCTCCTTTACATTTACCCGAGATTCTAGAAGGATGCTGCGTTATTTGAAGAGAAAACATGATTTATATGCAGGGCACTGGCAACTAACGGGGCATATTAAATTTGTTCGATTTATTTTCATGTGCCTTAACTACATTCATTTCAAAGGGAACTGATAATTCAAGTATGAGGATTTTCTTTAAGTTCTTCAAAAAAACACAAATGTCTGGGATGAGGTTGGTTTGGGCACACTCTAGTGGAATTGTGGAGATGCCTTCCTTTGTCCATGCTCTACTTTCAGGTCTGTGTACATAATATTGTCGCTAAGAGAGGAGATGCCTTCTTGAATAATTTCGGCAAGATACAAAAGTATGTTGTCATGGCGCCAAGTATAGCGTCCCTCTTCAAGTGACACAGGGCATGCGTTCAATACATGGTGTACTGTTTCTATATTTTCACACTTTTTACAGTTTGCTGATGCTGATGATAAAGGAAGCAGAGAACACACATAACATGGAAATATGTCTACAAATATACCAGAATTATACAAATTTAATCAATAGAAATGAATTGGGGGAACTGCAAATAAAACCGTAAGGTTCTATCGAGGCAGTCCCTGTTATCAAAAGAAACATACAGAAGAGAGAGAGAAGGAAGGAAACATTCTGCTGTGGCAACATTGTGATTTGTCACGAAACTGTTATTCGTGCCTCAGCGTATGTAAACAATGCAAAGACTCTCTACCGCAGACGGAAGGGGGTACTCTCTAAAAAAATCGAGTGATCACGGACGTCACTGCTCTGGCGAGTGAAAATGTAGTGAAAATAGAGTGAACATTCACTCTTTTCTTCTTAGAGAGCACTCTAAAATCAATCGATTTTCACTCCTGAACAAGTGATCACGGACGTCACTCCCAAGAAAGTGAAAATAGAGTGAAAATTCACTCTCTTTTTTAAGAGAGTAGGGGGCTCTTCCGACCTCCATCCCTATCCCACTAATCGAGCGATGGTGGCCCCGAAAAGAAAATGCACCAAAGTAAAATTGTATTAGTAGGCTACATCACGCTTTTAAATGTCAGAGGTGCAAGGGTGTCGGTTTGTATCCGTGGTTGGGGGGGGGGGGGGGAAGATAGGTGCCAAAATATTTTCGGCAATGGATCAAAGCAATCAAGAGGTAGAAGCGTGTGGCAAGTTGCACCCCTCCCAAGCGCGTAGCTAGGATTTAATCTTAAGGGGCGGTAGTGAGCACGCGAAGCACGGTCCCTAGGGGGTTGCGTGCAGGGAGGGGGAGTCCCCCCCCCCCCGCGAAGCGCGGAAGATTTGACGTTTCACTAAATTATTAGAGAAAGAAGACGATTCGTGGACCGTTCTCGACTCTTAATCCTTGTTTGAATCAAGTTCCCCTTCATCCGCGCGTAGAGCGGAAGCTCTGACGTTTCATTAGAATATTAAAGACAGAAGACGATTCGATGTACCATTCTCAACTCTTAATCCTTGCTTGAATCAAGTTCCCCTGACATTGAAGCTCTGACATTACATTAGATTATTTAAGAAAGAAGACGATCCTATGTACCATTCTCGTCTCTTAATCCTTAATGTCTGAATCAAATTCTCCCTTCCCCTCCCGTAGCGCGGAAGCTCTGATGTTTCATTAGATGATTAAAGAAAGAAGACGATCCTATTTACCATTCGCGGAAGCTTTCACATTAGAGACGATTTGTTGTATCGTGTCCTTCATGAATTCAGATTCTCCCCTACCGCGCTAAGCGCGGAAGCTTTGACGTTTACTAAATTATAAGAGAAAGAAGACGATTCGTTGGACCGTTCTCGACTCTTAATCGTTGTTTGAATCAAGTTCCCCTTCCTCCGCGCGTAGCGCAGAAGCTCTGACGTTTCATCAGATTATTAAAGAAAGAAGACGATTTGATGTACCATTCTCGACTCTTTAATCGTTAATGTCTGAATCAAATTCTCCCTTCCCCGCCCGTAACTCGGAAGCCCTGATGTTTCGTTAGATGATTAAAGAAAGAAGACAATCCTATGTACCATTCTCGACTCCTAATCCTTGTCTGAATTCATTTTCGCCCATTCCTGCGCGAAGCGCGGAAGCTTTCACATTAGTGAAAGAAGACGATTTGTTGTATCGTGTCCTTCATGAACTCAGTTTCCCGCCTACCGCGCAAAGCGCGGAAGCTTTAACGTTTCAATAAATTATTACTCTTAATCCTTGTCTGTATTCATTTTCGCCCATTCCGCGCTTAGCGCGGAAGCTTTCACGTTTAATTAAATTATTCGTAAAAGAAGACGCTTCGTTGTATCGTGTACTTTGACGTTTCATTTGATTATTACGCTTAATCCACGTCTGAATTCAGTTGCCCCCTTACAGCTTTGCCCTTTTCACTGAATTATTAGAGAAAGAAGAAGATTCGTTGTACTCTTCTCTATATTAATCCTTGTCTGAATTCAGTTTCCCCATTGAAAATAATTTGTGTTACAAATAAGTTGTGACATAATAATCTTTCTCCAAAAATGAAAAATCTTTTAGGAAATATCAGGAAATAAAATGAGTGAAAAAAAACAAAAATAAAGATACAATGACGTGAATTTTAAAAAGGGTGAACGGAAACAACATAACAACTAGAGTACTATTTTATAAGTCATACTAATGTCCGAAAATCTTTCTCCTTGTCTCCGATCTCATCACGAAATCGTCACAGAATTCATCTACGTTTACACTGTCCAGGATTGTCTGATGTGCATTGCAGATTGCTATTTTTGCGCTTCGCGTTTAACATTTAGCTCGTTGCTTTTTGACGCTGCGTCTTTGCATTTGGCGCACTGCATTTCTATGATGCTGTTGATTGAACAAATTGAATAAATTCATCAATTCCTGATGAAGCCGTATGAGCGAGAATTCAATTTATTCTTGTCTCATATACGGTCTTATTTACTTCGTATATATGTATGTATTATGAAAATTAGATAGCAAAATGTGTATATTGATGGTCATCTTGCGAGTAATAACCATTAACTACTCTCATCGGGCTCTCATCCTTAATTTTTCTCTTCATTTTTTTTTTTTTTGATGGTGAATTATTGGGGGATGATTGTACAATTGGGGGGGGGGATATATCCCCCCATCCCCCCCCCGGGATCGACACCCATGCAGAGGTGACATAAACAAGTCATAAAGTAAAGACTAACGAAATGGTCACCCTTTTATCGCTCAATCGCACCCTCGCACGGGTACATGTAGTAATAAACAATAATTTGAAATATAAAATACGGATAAGATCTGCAAACCTTAATTATGCAGAGGTTTTATCAATAGTTTAAATGGTGAAAGACTGAGAAAGAAGAAAAAAGCCCATTTAAGAGTAGGCATCAAGCCATGTATGCATTCAGGAGCTAGTTGACGAACACTTGCGTTGTGGGTCTTGTATTTATGGATGATAGGCGATTCAATGTTACTGTATAATTATGACATTGGAAATATAAAGTATTTCTACAAGGATAATTATATGCCTACGTTACATATATCAACGAACAAATGAATTCCCCTTGCCAGTAAAATATTAATGAAGTTCACGATCGCATTCCTATTCGAGAAATATCTGATTGCCAAAATCATGTTTAGGCCGTATTCAGCGCGACATGACTGCACGTTCAAAATTCAAAAGGTCCCATTTCTTGTTCAAGAGTCAAGTCTATCACGAACAAGGGCAATTTTTTTTCTCAATAGCACAACTTTAAATTTACTAATAAAGTGATAGATATTAAGCAATATCTTATTACATCGGCAGAAAAAGAAATAATATAGGATTTCCCGGCGAAATTCGCGAGTTTTTCATTCGAATTCAAATACTTTGCATTTAAGTTAGCGCAGATCGGCTTTGCCATGCCAATCACCATTCAATTTTCTCGTTTGGGTATTTAATTTAGGATTTTGGTCGAAGGGTTTTATAGATCTGTCATTTAATTTAGAAACTGCTCAACTAGCATTCAAATTAATCGTCACTTGTCGAGGCGTCATTTTTATCATTCAAACTAACACCTGTCATTCAAATTATGTTTATTCAAGTTAGGAATGTTAAGGGGAAGAAATGCAACACACGTTTACAGTTTAACAAAATGCAATTAAATGCATGATTTTTCATTGGGGTCTTTTCTGTTATTCAATTTATTAATTTTGAGGACAATGCAAATGGGTGTAGTCAGACATTAGGTAAAGAAGGAGCGAAATCAAGGGATATGGCATTTCTGCACGGACATGTTCATATACCCCGGAAAATTAAGTGGGGATACAAACATACCTACCCCAGTCACAATATTGTACCCTTCCTCCATAATAAAATTGTGATAAATTTATGATGAAACACAAGACAAACAACTTCCTTACAAGAAAATTTACAAACATATTGAGACCATCAAGTCCGTAGATGTAAGTCGTTTTTTCCTTCTTCTTAACAATCAAACTTAAATGATTATGAATATCAGATAAATCTAAATGTATATAAAGTGTATAAATGCAAGAAAATAAAATATGATGAAATACACATGAAAAAACAATCTTGAAAGAAAAAGGATGAGCTATAAAAAGTATGTAAGAAACGAGAAATGTACATTGACCATCAATTTAAGTGCACAAAGTGCTAATTTGAATGCTACAAATGAATTAGAATGCTAAAAGTACACCTCCGCTATTTCAGAAATCGTGTTGCGCCAAATTGAATGACCAAATAGCGAAAGAAGCACATTTTCATTAATTTGAATGAACCATACATAGATTCTAACGGAAACTTCATAGATTTGAAAACTAGAAAAAGGAATATAAACACAAGATATATCTGACAGCACTAAAACCGTCGAATTTGAACGCAAGACAAATTAATTTAAATGACAAACTCGCGAATTCGGCCGGAATATCCTATGTTTGGCATG